CTAAAGGGATTTACTCTGGTTTTCCTCAGCAACGGACCCGCTGTTTGTTCAGAAGTCTGGGGGGAAAAAAGAATGAACCACATTAGTTTAACTTCTTACCCACCCCCTTCACCCCAACACTAGACACCGTCCCCAACTGGTCCTGTATTAGATACCGTGGAAAGTAACCCCCACTATTATTTTTCCAATGTCCACCTTTAAGGTATAAAAGGTGATTTCAAAGGTCTGAATGGCCCCCTAGATTCTGAGCTTTAAATGTACAGAGGTGGGCTCAGTTTTCTCATCTGTATGTTGGGACAATATCATTCTTTGCAGAATACAGAAAAATATTTACAACCTGAGAATTTCATGTGGTGTAGTAACATTAATTAGTAATATTAATCTAAGATTGTCCCCCAACACATTTCCTTGTTGATCCCAGGATATTGCTTTGTTCCAGGAAAGGGAGGACTCAAGAGAGTCCTAACAGGATTAACAGATACTTTGTTACTGTGGTAAGATGCACGTAGCACATTTTTAACTCTTTTAAAATGCACAACTTTGCGGCACTACTCACATTTGCAGTGATATGCAACCATTCACCGCTGTCTAGTTCCAGAATTTATTCATCCCCCCAAAGGAAACCCTGTCCCCCTGGAGCAGGCGCTGCCCCCTTCCCCACCCCCACCCCCAGGCAATCCGTTAATCTGCTCTCGGTCTCTATGGGTTAAATACTTAATCTCATCCCAGAAAACGGATTTAAAATCCAATGCTCTTTGAAATTTTCAAAAAGCAAGATTTTGAGAGAGAAGAGCTTTTAGGAGGTTCTCAACCTAGCTTCCAAAGGCAAGAACCACCTTGATAATCTGCAGATATCCATTTTATTCCAAGAACAACAGCTACGTGGGGCGTCTGGGTGGCTCAGTCGGTTGGGCGTCTGCCTTCAGTTTAGGTAATGATTCCAGGGTCCTGGGATTAAGCCCTGCTCAGCGGGGGTCTGCTTATCCCCTCTCCCTCTGCCCCTCCCCCCTGCCTGGCACGTGTGCTCTCTCCCAAATAAAAATCTAAAAAAAAAAAGAACAGCTACAGAAAGAATGCAACCCACACTTTCCTTCTAGTGAGAGGTCAGGGGTCAACCTGAGGAAGGGATGAAGACTGGGGGTACTCAGCAGGCCCCTGAGAGCCACGTGGCACCCAGGTAGGGAAAGGGGCTTTAATCCTGGCTGGGCTAGTAGGTTGATAAAAGGTCCTTATTTAAAGGTTTGGTTTTTACCCTGTGGAGAACAAAAACCCGGGGATGTGTTTTTAAGCAACAGTATGGCAAGTTTAGAAATCTCAGGAGAACCACGTGCCACACGGAATTCAAAGCTAATACATTTGCCTAAAATCCCTAATAGTCGACTTTTGTTGACTAAACACATTCAGCCCAGTGTTGTTTTAATCCCATGTTTTAGCTTCATTTAGCTGTTAGGTAAGTCAGTCAGCTCTTGGGAGACCATAATCCTTCTCCATAACTTGGGGACGATAAAACCTACCTCTTACATTGTCTGAGGATAAAATAAGAGGATGCCGAGCACATGCCCAGCACATCTTTACCCAATGGTAAAAAATGGAGTGGCCAACATTTAGAGCTGTAATTCTCAACCAAGGGTGATTTGCCCTGCTCCCCTTGGCACCTCGGGACCCTGGGCAACATCTGGAGACATTTTTGGATGTCATAACCTGGGCATGGGGGACGCAGATGGGGGGATACCCCTAAATAGCCTACAGTGCACAGGACAGACCCCCAACTCCCCTCCCCACACAAAACAACAAAAAAATCATCTGGCCAAAAATATCATCTGAGGTTGAGAAACCCTGGTTCAAAGTATAAATCGCACATACCACGAATCAAATCATACCATAATGATTCAAAGTTAATAATGGGGTATAGGAAGATCCTTTGCTTTCGCAAGACCTTGGAGCTAATGCATAGTGAATACAGACCCAAATCCTCCTGGTACCAACCTCCGTCCGTCCATCCCAGGTCCCAAGCACCCTCAGACGTCCCCACCCGTAACTTACCTCGTTCGCGTCTTCAGGTCTTCCTGCCTCCAGCCTCCTCGCATCGGAGACTTGCTCTCCAACAGCCTTGAGCTGAAATATACAGCTCTGTTTATATACAGCTAGAGAAAACCCAGACTTCCTGTTACCTCATCAGCCCAAAGATTAGTTTAAGGCCATGGAATGAACCACTGAAGATTGCTGCGTGGATTACAATTCCCACTGAAACTCCATCAAGAGAGAGAAAAAAAAAAAGGAATTTATTAAGTAAGTTTACTTGGAAACAATATTGGTTTTCCTGGTCTACTGAATTATTTATCATATGCCCGAAGCATTCAAAGGAGTCAGGGAACGTAGAGCTGCAAGTTTTAAGCACTTTGGGTCAAGATTTTATTTAAAATGAGCTGACAAGGCAAAGCGTGAGAGGTAGGTATTTAGAAAACTAGAGGTTGCATGTGAGTAGAGAAAAGTACAACATCATACCCATTTTGCAGGCTGAGCTTTTCCTAAATGCCAAAGGCAGCGCTAACTCATCAAGTCAAGAACGTGTGAAGAGATGGGAGGCTGGTATCAAACCAGTGATTTAATCTAGTTCAGGGTGTGCCTGGGTGGTTCAGTCCGTGGGTCATGTGACTCCTGATCTCAGGGTTGTGAGTTCGAGCCCTGTACTGGGTATAGAGATTACTTACAAATAAAAAATAAAACCTTCGAAAAACATAATCTAGCTCAAGCAAAGCTCTAACATATTAATTCCAAGGTATTGAAAAATGAAAAGTAATTATTGATACATAAAGAATATTCGTGATTTTTTAAAACTTATTTTTACTATTTTTCAGTATCTTGGGATTAATACCTTAAAGCTTTGCTCAAACTAGTTTAAATCACTGATTTGATATGTCAACTTACCCTTTTACAAAAACAATGGAAAGCAGACGAAAGCACGTAGACACGGCTCTGTATTCCTTTTCTCCCTGGGTGGGGAAGGTGGTTTTGAGATACGTGAGGCTTCTCTGTGGACCTTCTTGTCCCCCTGAATTAGATCTCATAAATTCTGAAAAGCTATAATGGTGGGTCTGCATGTTACCGCATGAATTTTAATCAGGGATTGGGCGTGACTGGGTTACAATTTTGGAAGCTCTCCATGTCCATCAAATCATACCAAGTCCATTCAGATAGTGAACTTTTTTGTGTTAACATTTCAGATGAATTGGAAGGCTCTTAGCTTTGGATGATTCTGGGGGCCCAAGAGAGTCTCTAAACCCTGCAAACCTCAGACTCCTTGGGAGCAGAATGGTGGCTTTCTGGCCACATAAACTCTGCCCTTTCATCCTGAGTCCAGTACATGGGGGACCGCCACCAAATCGGATTCAGAATCTGACCACTCATCCCCTCACTGCTGCCTCTTCTAATCTCTCTGAGACCTGGACCTTTGCTGCCGCTTCCAGAATGGTCCCCTCTGCCCTCCTGCCCCCGAGGGCCACGTTCCCCATGGCCCCAGATTCTGTGACGAGAACCCAGCCATACATTTCACTGCCCTCCTTCAGAACCCACCCATGGTTTGCAGAGCACTTGGAGGAGAAGCCTTGTCCTTTCTCTGCACCCAGAGGCCTTCAATATCTCACCTGCACGCTCCCCCTTTCTCAGCCCCCTCCTCAGCCCCCTCCTCAGCTGCCTGAGCAAGCCTGGCGTGCTTCTGCTCTGGGACTTTGTCCATGGGGTCTTGCTCCGTGGACTGGAATGCGCTCTGCCCACGGGATGCCAGGAGCACCCCTCGGCTGTGACACCCAGAAATGTCCACACACGGTGCCCAATTGTCCCCTGGACTTGCCCTAGTAGAGAACCTTCATGAACCTGGTTTATTTTATTTTATTTTATTTTCACATAGGCTCCACGCCCAGCACGGAGCCCAATGCAGGGGCCTAACCTCACAACCCTGAGATCAAGACCTGAGCTGAGATCAGAGAGTCAGACTCCTAACCGACTGAGCCACCCAGGCATCCAGAGCCTGGTTTATTCTTATTCTTATTATTTACCACCATCATACATATTGTGCATTTATTTGCTTATATTTCCTTATTGCTGGTGTTCCCCAGTATTCACTGCAAGCTTCATAAGATCTGGTGCCCTGTTCCATTTACTGAGTCAGCATTGAGGCTGATGCTTGGGACCTAGAACAGCGTTTGCCCAGTAGATGCTCCATATATAAATACTGATAAATAGATTGGATAGATGACAGATAGATATATAGGTAGATACATACATACACACACACAGAGGTGACACATCCAAGGTTCTGGACTATTTCTTAAGATCTTCTAATTTTTTCTGCGACTATAAATGACCTCATATAACTGGTACAGAGGTACTTTTCTTTCGCGCCCCCCATTGAGATGAATATTTGCCTGGATAGAAAATTACAGATTTACACTGTTTTCCTTCAGCTCCTGAAAAGTATTTGCTGCACTGTCATCTGCACCCAGTGTTGCCACCGGAAAGCCGTATAAGCCTTCCTGTGGAAATGATTTGGATTTTTCTTTCTTTTAGGCATTTTTGAAATTCATTCGTTTGTGACCACGTGTAGATTTTTCCTGTTCAGCCTAAAGAACACTATGGGTCTGAGAGCTCTTTCATCTTTAAACGTATGAAATTTATCTTTATGATTTCTTACAAATATTTCCTCCTCTCCCTTCTCATGTTCCCCTCGAGTAGGGCCTGGATTCTTCATGCTTTCTCACTTCTGGAAGAGTCTCCAGTGTTTTGTTCCTCTTCTCTAATTTCTCTTGTTGTGTCTGTTCTGCCATATTTCCCACCCGCGGTGTTCCTTCAGCTATTGCATATTTTTCTTAATTAATATCATTGCATTTAAAAATTTTTTAAATTCTTACTTCGTGTTGCTGATTTATGTTTCTTATGTTTATTTATATTTCTTGGACAACAGTTGCAATACCCCCGTTTCTGAAAGTAGCTGTAACCCAGCTTTTATATTCTTTGTTGATTTTTTTATAAAGATTTTTATTTATTTACTTGACAGAGAGATAGCGAGAGAGGGAACACAAGTGGGGGGAGGGGCAGAGGGAGAAGCAGGCTTCCCACTGAGCAGGGAACCCGATGCGGGGCTCGATCCCAGGACCCTGGGATCATGACCTGAGCTGAAGGCAGATGCTTAACGACTGAGCCACCCAGGCGCCCATCTTTGTTGATTTTTTTTTAATTAGCTGTGTCCTTATTTGGCCCCATGAGTTAGTATCCTTTAGGATAGGATAATTTCGCCCCACGTGAACATTCAACAATGTCTAGAGACGTGTTTGGTTGTCACAACTGGGGAGAGGGTGCTCCTGCCATCTTGACACAGAGACCAGGATGCTGCTCAACATCCTATCATGCACAGGACAGCCCCACATAAAGAATGATCCCAACCGAAATGTCCAGAGTGCCGAGGTTGAGAAACCCCAGAAGAGGGGTACTGACTCTAGCTGATAAACCTGGCAAAATCCAGTAAGCCAGACACTGACCTGTTCCAGCTCCAATACCCTCAGTGACAGGTTAATTCACAGTTCACGCGCCTTTGGTGTAATCCTACCAAGTAAAACCTCAGATCGGGGCCTCAGTGGAAGGAAGCACTCGATACACCTGAGGTTCTCAGCCAGCGTTCACCAGGAACACGGAGAGCCAACGAGACCACCCATGGCTTTGCCCCACCCTCCGATCATCTGGTCTGATTTTCTCCGTTTAGGGTGGGGCTTCGACAGGATTTTTTTTTTTTTTTTAAGCACCCAGGAGATAGGGAATATTATTCAGCCTTAAAAGGAAGAGAATCCTACCACACCCCACAACAGGGACGAAGCTTGAGGACATTATGATAAGTGAGACAATCCAGACACGAAAAGACAGATGCTGGGATTGAAGACATCAAGCAGGACTGCGGTGCCAGTGAGCTGGGCCGGGTTCCTGGGGAGTGGTCCTGCAACGCGGGCAGACCTTCAGTTAAGACGCAAAGGGCTCTGTGGATGGTGGTGACAGTTGCACAGTGTGAAGGTCCTTTATGCCACTGAACTGGACGCCGAAACGTGGTTTAGATGGTGAATTTCAGGGGCGGCTGCGTGTCTCAGTCCGTTAAGCATCGGACTCTTGGTTTCGTCTCAGGTCCTGATCTCAGGGTCCTGGGATTGAGCCCCACATCGGGCTCCGCACTCAGCAGGAACCTGCTCCTCCCTCGGGCCCTCCCTCTGCTGGCGCTCTCTCTGTAAAATAAATAAAATAAGTCTTAAAAAAAAAGATGGTAAATTTCATGTTACATGTTTTTGCCACAATTAAAGTTTTTTTTAATTAATTTTTTAAGACTTTATTTTATTTTATTTTTATTTTTTTAAAGATTTTATTTATTTATTTGACAGAGAGAGACACAGCGAGAGAGGGAACACAAGCAGGGGGAGTGGGGGAGGGAGAAGCAGGCCTCCCGCGGAGCAGGGAGCCCGATGCGGGGCTCGATCCCAGGACCCTGGGACCATGACCCGAGCCGAAGGCAGACGCTTAACGACTGAGCCACCCAGGCGCCCCTTTAAGACTTTATTTTTAAGTAATCTCTATGTCCACTGTGAGGCTCAAACTCACAACCCCGAGGTCAAGAGTCACGTGCTTCACCGACTGAGCCAGCCAGGTGCCCCTTAATTAAATATTTTTAAGACACCAGTTTGGGAAACTTGATTAAGGAGGGACCAGGGCCCTCCCCTTACTCACTTGGGTCCCTCACCTGATCTCTGGGCCCAGGCAACTGTCTCTGCTCATTAGGACTCAGTCATTCGTCAGCAGGACACATGGAGGGCAATTTGCACCTGTCAGGAAATCCCTCTCCCTTTCCAAAGACCCACTCCCCTCCCCAACCCCCCTGCAGGGGAGATGTGGGGGCAGCTCTAGGGCTCTGGTCCAGCTTCCCCCTCACTCTGCATACAAAGACCAGTCCAGAGAATGGCCCTTGGTGGCCCTAGCCCTCCAGCCTGGGAGGGAGACAGCTGAGCTGTGCTGAGAGATTGGGCAGAGCAGGGTCAGCCCTTTCCTTCCCAAGCCCGCGAGAAGGAGTGAGGAGTAATGTCTAGGAATGGGACTCTGACCCCACAGCCACCCCGGGATAGTGACCTGCATCCTGGACAGTCGGGTACCGATGGCACTCTGAGAAGGAAGCTATCCTGGCTTATGACTGTCGGCAAGTGAAAATTCAGGATGCCCAGTTGAATGTGAATTTCGGATAAGCCATGAACAGCTTTTGGCGTTAAGTATGTCCCATGCAACATTTGGGATATACAAGTACATTTGGACTGAAGATGAACAAGGGGGATTTTTGTAGTATGAGTATATTGCGATAAGAGCCCCATTAGGACCAGTCCTCTGGGGGGCTCTAAGCCCCCATCAGTATGGGTAAAATTCTAGCACCTGGACAAGACCCCAACCCTTCCTCCCTCACCTCTGTGCTCTCAGACTTATCATCTGCCCGGAGCCACGAGGGCTCATCTCAATATATCCTTTACCTATGTTTTTGTCCATTTCCAAAAGAAGGCTGGTTGCGCCCCCCCAAGCCATGCCTCAGCCCCCAGGCCCCAGACATAACCTGACTCTGGATATCCCCTATTGCAATACCCCTGTTGCCTCCCAACTCCTGAAATGTCTTCTCCAAGGAGAATTCCCTCACCCTCAGCCTCCTCTGAGTGTCCTTCAGGTATTCACCCTCACTCCCTGGAGGGCTGGGCTCCTGCCTCTGGACATTACTGTTATCATAATTCTTGGATATCTCCACGCCCAGTGCCCTCGGCCCCATGACATTCTCTCGACCCTCTGCCACACACTCCATGAAGCCATACCCATGAGTTAGTCACCCCCAGTAACCACAGTGCCTCCGCCATCTTTAACCACACTCCACGTCCTGTTCTCTCCCTCGTCTCTGAACATCATCGGGACCAGCAATCTATCGAATCCCCAGAGCTCTGCCCTTAGACCCCTTCTCTTCTCGAGTACCATCTAAGTACTGACAATGCTCCCAATTATATACCCATTCTGCACCCCTCCTCTGAGCTCCAGATTTGCACATCCAACTCCCATTCCCCCACCCCCAGCTGCATATCCAGTAGGCATCTCAAGCTTACCATGTCCCAGATCGAGCTCCTGCTCTTCCTCCAAAACCTGTCCTGTGCATGCTTCCCATAACCTTCAAGGGCATCTCCATCCCTCCATTTGCTTAGACCAAAAAATAGGGATTCATCCTTGACTGCTTTCTCAAATCCCACAGCAAGTCCGTTGGGGAGTCCTCTCAGCCCTGCCTTGAAATACATCCAGAACGTGACTGCTTCTTACCACCTTCCAGGATTATAGCATCCCAGGTGGTCTCTGCCCTCCCAAAGCTGGTCAGAGGCTCCTTGCCCTGGTCCCTGTGTGCCCCTGATCTCAAAGCCTTGTCCCTACCCTGCATCTGTCGACTCGTTTTTCTGGTTTCTCCCTTCGTGAGATCCTCCAAGGCAGGGCCTGGGTCTTTTCTTGTCCCTGATGCTGCCTCTGTCCTCCCATTCTGCTATTTAAAGTTGCTAAGGGCTTAAAACGAGATTTCTGATATTAGACTGCATACGGCCGGAGACCCGGGAAGGTCAGAATCCTGCGCGAGCGATCCCCGCCACATGGTGTTGCTGAGAGAGAGGCAAATCCAAAGGACGATGGCAACTCAGATCGTGCGACTGAATATCCATCCACCTCCATCCATCTCTTCCATTATTTTGTGTTCTTAAGTGGGCAGGTGCCCCCAGCTCAGGACGATGGTTCCCAGCCTCCCTGTGGCTAAGACTAGTCATGCGTAGGTGTGTGAACAAACACCACATGTGCCTTTCAAAGACTTTTCTTTGGAAGAATCGGGTGTGTCCCCTCTGGCTTCCTACCTCACAGAAGTGGTAAGGCAACCCTCTCGGACCCTGAGATGAAGCTTCATGGCCAAAGATGGCAGAGCCATCCTGCCAACCCCACACTGCCTCCTTCTGGACCGTTCTGTGGGTGCAGAGTAAATGTGCATCTTGTTCGTGCTGCTGCGTGTTGGGGGCTCTTTGTTACAGCAGCGTGGCCTCGAGGAATGTCCCAGAGAATAAGGCCAGAGCCCTGACTACCATGCAGACACTGGGTCAACTGTCCCAGATGAACCTAGCCTCCTACCCACAGTCATCGAGGCACCAGACATGCGACCCCCCCAGATCGGTCCAAAAGCAAAAGGCATTAACAGGGATTAAGGGAGGCATCATGTAATGATAAAAAGATTCCTCCAGAGATCTACAAAGCTTACAAACATATATGATGACAAAACATAGCTTCAAAATATGTAAAACGAACGAACTCGTGAACAGAGAGTAGGTCAGGTATCCAGCTATGGAATTGTAATTAGGCTTGCTCATGAGATAATCCGAGATCCACTGCCTCCAACAGGATATATCACCCCACACCTGACCCTCTCAGCCTTGACTTTGCCACCACCACGAATTCCCACGCTAACACAGAAATCATGCATGATTGGCAAAGAAATGTTTTATTCTCTCCACTCTGCTCTGGAGTACCTCTCCCCGTTTCCAGCTGGAGGACGCTGGGCCGGGGTGGGGGAAGGAGGGAAGGCATGCCTGCTACTTGGCAGAATCTTCCTGAGTCAAGACATCATAGACTCTCGGAAGCAAATGGGATATTCATATCATATTAGTCAATAGCTCGTGTTAGGGCTGGGATGATTCCAAAGAATACAATTACTTCACACGGACTGAAGAAATACTCCCTCATCACCCCGCATCTCCTAAACGGCTCCAGAATTAATTCTTGAGTTTGTTAACAACACTTTATACTTACTCCAAGGATAAATCAGTGAAACCTGAGGCAGCCTGGGGACTTTTATGAAAATTATCCCAATGCTCTAAATTTTCTGCATGACATTTAGGGACTTGACTTCAGGATCTCAGTCTCAGTGGAGGGAGCTAGACAGGGGTTCAGGAGGAGCTGGGGAGATGGATGCAGAGCAGAGGTCTGGAGACATCTAGGACCGCAGGGCATCTCCCTCCTTGGGGGCTTTCTCACTGAGCTTGCCCAGATCTGTGGGAGAGAAAGAGGTGAATTTTGAATGGTTAAGCTCACCGCCACCACCCAAACCAGTCCAGGCTGGGAAGGAGACCAAGGAGGAAGACGGCTTTGGTTCATCCCATGTCCAATTGCCTTCCCTGTCCTCTTTCCCTCTTTCCTTCTTGCTCTACCTTCCTTTCTTTGCATCTACCCACATATTTCCCTTTTCCACCCCATGTAAGATGGCACATGGTGGGGGTGGGTGTTTTCAAGAGACAGAGGGTAGCCAAGGTTGGTGTGGGGCTTGATGAACTCAGGAGGTGTGTCACCTCCAACACCGGTAGATGTCCAATCAGTGCTTTCCAGATGGGTTAGTAGAGCTAGAATGAAAGCATGGTGTTCATTTCCAAAAACAGGGTTAGGGTTGAAGGAGATGGAATTGGGGTAAAGATCCAGCTGGAGGAAGGTGGGCAAAGCTGACTTACTTAGGTCACAGTTGGGTGGGAAGCCTGCACTTGGATAGTTTAATTCATGCGTTTTAACACATATTTTCCAGGCACCATTGTGCGTAGGCAGTGAGCAAGTCATGGAAGGTCCCTATACACACTTTATTGGGAGACTTTATTGGGAGAAGACAGAAAACAAGCAGATAAGTACAGGATACAAAGACGATGTACATGCTGACAAACATCACTACGAAAATTAGATGGGATGACAAGAATAGAGGAAAAGTAGGTTTATGTCAGATAAATGGTCAGGGGAGACTCTAAGGTGGAGGAGGTGGCTAAAATGATTTCTGGATGATGTGAAGGCTCTCGCCATGCAAAGCTCTGGAAACAGAACATTCTAGACTGAGGCATCAGCTGGTGCAAAGATCCTTGAGTAAAAGGGACCTGGTGTTCTAAGAAAACCAGAATTCAGAACAGGAGTAGAACTCGCTTGAGCATGAGTAGAGATGAGTACAAGGTCCAGAGTTTAAAGGCTGGAATAAAGACAGAGGTCAGACTTGGAAGTGAGGGTTTGAGGTCAGTGTTGTAGCTAAAGCCTGGGGGGCTGATATTAGGGAGATCAAGGTTTGGGAGTGGGGTCATCACTGCAGTGCCAGGTTGGGAAACATCTGGGATTGGCTGGGAAATGCGTGTTGGGCCCGGAAGCGGGGTGTGAGGTGAAGGGGTAGAGCAGAAATGAGCCATCCCGGTCAGCGTGGGCGTTCAGAGTTGGCCCTCATCGCTCCTGTCCCCGGCTCCTGTTTCCTCCATGTTTCCCGCGCTTACCTGCAGTCTCTGCTTTGGCAAAGGTCTCCCTCAGGCTCCTCTTGGAGGCCCGCTGAGGGCGGGGATAGGGGAGCCCATCTGGGAACAAAGCCGAAAGTCATCCCGCCTCCGCGCCATTCGGTTCGGAGCTTTGTAGCTTGCAACGTGGCCATAGCTCCCTTATTTCCTTGGCATTAGTGGTACTTAGGGGTTCTCATCCTGGGTCATTTTGCCCTTCCCTCCCCCTCCCCAGAGATATCTGGTAATGTGTGGGGACATCTGTCCTTGTCACAACTCGGAGGTGTTATGGCCACCTAGTGGGTGGAGGCCAGAGATGCCGCTAAACATCCTGCACGTGGACGGCCCACAGTGGAGTCATGGGCATCAGCGCCCAGGGTGAGAAACTGGCCCCAGATACGCGCAATTGCCCGGTAGGTGACAACAATGGGGAGATTCGGTTCAGGTCACAGGCTGCATTCACGGCGTGCCTACCCCGGTGTTGGTGTCTGAACCCCCGCACACCCCGATTCTTTCCCTTGAGATGTGGATGGCAAGGAGGGGGCATCTCAGACGCGTTACGTGGCCGGGAACTGTCCTTCCCCAAGCTCCCCCGACCGGCAAGTGGCGGAGCGAGGGATGGAGCCCACGTCGGCCGGTTTCCAAGGCCAGCAGTGGGCAGGCGGAGGAGGGTGATCAGATGAACCCCACACGCACTCACCAACGGCCTTCCACGGGTCTAGGACCTCCAGGGCTGTCTTCTCCTTCCCTCCGTGGTCCGCGCTCCGGGGAAGGTGGAGCACTGGGGAGGGGGTGGGGGAGAACAGGGCCCGTGGTCTGTGACGTGGTAACAGTCACACAGGGAATCCGGCAATCCTGTAACGCTGTTCCCTGCACGGAGCACCACCACTAAGTCTGTGGGACAGCGAGTCTTTCGAGCATCCGCACGGCCAAGTGAGGTGGCTGTGGCTCTGAGGAGTCCACTCAGTCGCCCAACGTTTCCCCACGGCTAAGGGGCAGCACTGGGAGCTGAACCACCCACGTCTAGACCCAGACCTCAAGTCCTTGCTGCTCTGCCCCACGGTCCCGGGAGCCTGGGTCTTCTTGGACCACCGAGTGGTCCTTGCTTTGAGCATCACAGGGATGTACGGCTTTGTCCCTCCACATCACAAGGAGTGCACAGTGAAGACGCACTCGGGGACACGGGGAGCCCGGGATGGAGGGGCATAAGGGGGGAGAGTAACCGCCAAGTGTCACCTGGCACCCCGAGGCACCAGGAATTGTTCTAACCGCCCGCGTGCAGCAGGGGCCTCATCGTACCCATCGTCAGGCTGGAGGGAACTAAGGCATGCACACCAAGCAAGTGGCGGAGCTGGGATTTGAACTCAGCACTGTGGTTCCAGGACCCACGTGCCCGTTGCTCGTCTAGACTAACTGTCAACACGGGTCTGGAGAGAAAACCCGTGGACTGCAGGGAACGTGAGCTGAGGGTCTTTACAGGCTCGCACACCCACCGCAGGTAGGCACTGGGCAGGGATGGCGCTCAGAGCGGGCTCACTCACCGGGACCCAGGAGATAGCCCACGCTGTTGAGGGTCCAGCCTCCTCGCCCCTGGACAGAGACCGAGAGATCTAGACTCAGACAGGCAGAAAGGCTGGCAGGCGTCCCCCAGGCCTGGGGCCACAGGGGCCAGCTGCCACCTTCCCAGGAGCCTGGCAGGGGGTTCACTTAATCCACATTTCACCAGTGAGGAAAGTGAAGGCTTCCTAAAACGTAGCAGCTCGGAATGAAGAGAGACTTTAAAAACCACATCTACAAGCCTCAGCATATCGTCACAAATCTCTCTCTCTCACACACACACACACAGGTTCAAACCCAGGCGACATCACCGGATGGCTTCAGGCAAGCTGCGTGTTCCTTTGCCAATTACAGCGGCTAATACTCACTGTGGGTTTTCTACCTGCCAGTGTCTGTTCTAAGCAGGACCGGCTACATAACTTAAGGGGGTGCAGGGCAAAATGAAAATATGGGGCCCCTTGCTCAAACACAACGAAAGGTGTCGAGACGGCAACAGGAGACCACGAAACCCCGTGTGGGTGCCTTCTGGGCGGGCGACCCTGGGGTTCAGTGCAGGCTACCCGCCCCCAGCCCGGCTCCGGCTCTGGCTCCGGTCCTGGCCCCGGGGGACAGCCCAGCTCCGGCTCCGGTCCCGGCAAGCTCCGAGAGACTTAAATGGCCTGCAGAGGACCCTGGCAGCAAGGCAGGCAGCTGGACCCAAACCCAGGGTGGCGGAGTACCAAGCCTGGGTCCTCTGGATCGGGTAATGCACCTGGCATGGAGGAACTCAGGTAACCCTCGTGGTGCTGTGATTTTACGAAGAACTCGGAGGGACAGGAGTCATGCAGCTAAAAAATGACAGCACCAGCATTCCGAATTCACCCGGGTGTCCACAGTCCATGCGCCCACTCAGGGGCTCCCCGAATGTGGCCCGGAGGCCAGCAGCATCAGCCAGGGGTTGGCAGAAACCCTAGGGGCAGGGCCCAGTCCTTGGTGACCTAACAACTTAGAATGACCAGGAGCTCCCTGAAGGCATCTTTTTGTACCTCTGGGCAATGCTAATCCTTAGGACATTTTTGCTTCCTGACCCCTGGGTCAGGTGTCCTAACCCACACCGGCTCCCACCCCCACCCGGGGCCAAGGCACCCCACAGCCCGTGGCTCCTGGCTCAGCCAGGAGAATCAGAAAGCTCTTCTAGGAGGGCAGTGACTGGGGATGTTGCAGGTGGGGAGGGAGGTCTCACCTGGTGGACAGGTACAGAGGCAGCAGTCTCCCCCAGGCTGAGCAAGACGGCAAGAAGCAGGACCAGACGGACAGAGGGAGCCATCTGAGGGCCAGAGGGGTGGACGCTTAGAGCTACAGGACGCTGCCAAGAGAGGGTGATGAGTGTATTTATGTATTTTTAGTGTCATTAAGGTATAACTGCTATACAAAAAAATGGCATGCACTGAACATACACCTCTGGATGAATCTGGACACATGCATGCACCCGATTCCACCACCATCATCAGGGTGGTATGCATATCCATCACCGTCAAACATTTCCTTGCGATTTTTTGCTTGTTTGATTTAGGTTTTTGTTTGTTTTGTTACCATGAGCTCTGTCCTCCTGACATATGTTTTCTTGAGCTTTTTTTTTTTTTAAAGTAGCTTTTCTTAAGGGAATAAAGACATTTTATTTTTTATTTATTTATCTATTTATTTTTTAAGATTTTTATTTATTTATTCATGAGAGACAGAGAGAGAGAGAGGCAGACGGAGAAGCAGGCTCCCCGCGGAGCAGGGAGCCCGATGCGGGGCTCAATCCCAGGACCCTGGGATCATGACCTGAGCCGAAGGCAGACGCTCAACCATCTGAGCCACCCAGGCGCCCTGTTTTCTTGAGCTTTAATGGACATCCGACACCATGTAAGTTCGAGGCGTGCGGCATGACAGCTTAACGTGTATATTGGGAAAAGGGTCTCCTCGGTAAGTTTGGTTAACATCTGTCACCTCGTCTAGTCACGACAAAAACTGTTTTCTCTTCACGTTGAGGACTTTTGGGATCTACTCTCTCTGGGCAGCTTGCAAAGATGCCACACGGTGGTGTCAACGACGGGGACCGTACCGTCCGTCTGGTCCCCAGCACGTCCGCGTCTTACACCTGAGCGCTCGGGCCGACCCCGCCTCTGCCTCACCCCCCATCTGATCTCGTTCCGCGAGTGGTTGTTTCCAGATTCGACCCAGAAGTGAGATCATGCGGAGTTCGTCTCCCTCTGTCCGACTTCTAACAAACTGTAAATGCACGATACCATATCACGCAACAGAGATGAACTTCTGTGTCTTCCTGCCTTAAATACGTGACAGAAAAATAAAATGGACACTTCTGAGTTTACAGCCGATTTTGTGGCGTTCCATCCTGGAGCACCTTTATTTAAGTAAAGCGAGGGCGTTGCTTGAGGGACGGCCCCGAAGGTAAGCGATAGGACACCGGACAGGTAAAACATGGTCCCCCCAAACCCCAGGCACACGAGTGACCAAGGTTCAAGAACCACAGAGGTGTTCACCCCTGGCGATCCTTCAGCCCGTGTCTGCCCCTGCCTTCCCCATCAGCATGTCCCGTTTCTCCGGGGCCCCCCCACACCCTTGCATGCCCTCCCCACCTCACCTCACCGGAGTCGGCAGCTCTCCCCTGCTCTCTAGGGGCCCAGCTCCTTGACTGCAGCTTTTATGCCTCCCGAGGAGCAGGGAGGCGGGAAGAGCAGGGGAGAGAGAGGGGGTCAGCAATCAGGGGGAAGGCGGGAGAGAGCGCCAAGGATGGAGGTGGGAGTGAGGCTTTGCGCACAGAAGGGCTTTCATGAACTGGCCTGTGAGGTCAGAGCGAGGACGCTCCCTGCAGGGAAATGTTTCTCTGCTTCACCTCAGTTTCCCCTTGCAGGTGCTCCACTCTGAGATGTATAGGCTGCCCTTCATCCCCCCTTTCTGTGCCTCTTCTTTGTGACTTGTGTCTCAGGCCCTGTGTTTATTCAAGTATCCCCCCAGCCTGGGTCTGCGTGTGTCCGGGCCGCGAACCCCATTTCTATCCACGCCCCCTTTCTGTCCCTGCGGCGGCGCTGGGTTCTCTTTAGTCTCTGCTCGCCTTCAGGGCTCTCTTGCTGTGTCCCTTGCTTCTGTCCTGCACGATGCACCTGTTTGGGTCTTTCCTTGTTTGTTGAGCATCTCGCCCTCCCTGGGAAACAGGCTCAGCGAGGGGCGGCAACGCATCTTGCTCCTCATGGTGCCTGGAGCCCAGGGGCACTCCATCAGGGTGGTTTTGTTCCTCGGGGGACATTTGGCCACGCATCGTGACTTGGGGGTGCATCTGGCCTCCAGGGGGAGGAGGCCAGGGACGCTGCCCCACATCCTGCAATGCACAGGACGGCCCAGAGCAGAGAACGATCCAGCCCCAGAGGTTGGTGGCACCGAGGCTAAGAAACCCTGCCAGAGGGCCCAGAACAGTGCCTGGAACTCAGTCAGTATTTGTGGGATGAACAAAAGCTCTGTGTGTGATCTCCCACCCTGTTTCTGGTTTTTAATTTATCTGTGTCTTTGTTTCTCTCCCTCTTGGCCCCAGAGATAAGCAGTTTTCCAGAGGAAGGAACCCCGGAATCAAGGAGGGACTAGTCCACCTGCCCTTTGCTTTCTGAAAGTCCTGGTCCTCGCTGGATATGGTGCCCCCGTCAGACACGGCGTCCCCACCAGACATGGCATCCCCCTCTCTGCCAGGCAGGGCCTGTGGCTCATCAGTACCTTCTTTCCATCGCCTCCTCTCTCCCCCACCCCCGCGGAAGGGAGCGGTCTCATCTCAATCATAAAACGAAGGCCCTGGACAGGGGTCGAGTGAGACCACGAAGATCCTGGTTTGCTCCCATCTTCATTTCCGGGCATCCGTCTTTTCTCCTCTGAAGGAGAAGGGGGGACAAGTGACAGGAAGGTGTAAATGGTTTGCTGGGAAAGAGCATGAAGGTGGAGGGGTGGTGCTCGTAGGGGACGGAGGGAAGGACAAAGCTGGAAGCCCAGAGGTGGTTACCTGGAGACTGAGGGAGAGTCAGAGGAAAGAGAATCACCAGCCCTCGTTTCCTCACTTAACCCGTTCTGGGAAAATAAATAAAGGGAGCCCAATCTCATGCGAAAAAAAACAAAAAAACTAAGGTGTGCAAGAAATGCCACTTTCTTCGCATTTCTGTGACTGAGCCCGTTGTCTGTCTTGAGCCCACATCCCTCTTCATAGTTCGGAAACGTGGACACGAAGGCCCCTTTGCTAGGTGGACACTGCAAGTTTCCCGTCTGATGTTTATTTGGTCGTATTGGTGAGGAGTCTGCTGGGTTTTAGCTAAATAGCCACAGTTCTTGTACGTGTTTCAATGCTATGGGGGATGTTCACCCATTCCTGTCCCGCAGGGGATGGCAGGAGACTGAGGTCGAAGCTTATCCTTCCTCTTTCCTTCCAAAGGGAGGTATCGAGAGCCTGAATGTATTGGGTCCCTGTCCACAGTCCAATGAGCCAATGACCCGAATATTCTTTTTTTTTTTTTTTAAGATTTTATTTACTTATTTTGAGAGAATGAGATAGAGAGAGCATGAGAGGGGGGAGGGTCAGAGGGAGAAGCAGACTCCCCGCCGAGCAGGGAGCCCGATGCGGGACTCGATCCCGGGACTCCAGGATCATGACCTGAGCCGAAGGCAGTTGCTTAACCGACTGAGCCACCCAGGCGCCCTGGTTGCAACATTCTTTTTATTTATTTATTTATTTATTTGAGAGAGAGAATGAGATAGAGCATGAGACGGGGGAGGGTCAGAGGGAGAAGCAGACTCCCCGCCGAGCAGGGAGCCCGATGCGGGACTCGATCCCGGGACTCCAGGATCATGACCTGAGCCGAAGGCAGTCGCTTAACCAACTGAGCCACCCAGGCGCCCCTGACCCGAATATTCTGACCACTGAGAGCAGAAAAGATTTTTGCTGGGGCTTCTGGGGAAAAAAAAAAAAAAAGGTCTTCCTTTTTTAACTTTTTACTTTGCAATAATTCTAGACTTACAGGAAAATTGTCCAAATAATTCCCCAATAATCAGATTCTCCAAATGTTTACATTTTTCTGCATTTGACGCCTTGATCCTACCTCCACCTCTCTCCTCTCCACAGACGCACATATAAATATTCTGAACTGTTTGAGAATAAGTTGTAAACTTTATGCCCCCTCACCCCTAAATTCTTCCACGCGTCTTCCTAAAAACAAGGACAGTCTCTAATGTGACCACAGTAGGATTATCAACGTTGTAAAAACGAACGTTGACACCGTCCTAATATCTAAGCTAAGACCTTCTTAAAATTTTTACCACTTGTTCCAATAATGCCTTTTACAGCAAAACAAAAACGAAAACAAAAAAAAAGAAAAGAAACACCCCCACTCTATGCCTCTTCAGTGCCCTTTACAACTGGAAGATTGTCTCTACTTTATCTTTCATGACCTTGACGTTTTCTGTGACATTTCTGTGAGTCCCAGTGAGCTCTTCTGTGGCATGCCTCTTGTCGATTTGGGTTTGTCTGACACTTTCTCGTGATTAGATTTGGGTTATGCATGCTGGGCAGGAAAGCCGCAGAAGTGATCAGGGTGGTGACGTATAAATTACGTCCTTCTGGGTGCGTCCCGCCATGCGAGCTTGGCACATCGGCTCAGCCGGCTCCTGGGGGGGTGAACTTTCATCGCCTGATTAAGGCGGAGTTGGCCAGATGTCTCCACTGCAAAGTTACTTTTTGTCCGTCTGTAATTGGTGTCTTGTGGGGAGATCCTTTGAGACAACATGGTGTAGTTTCTTCAGTCTTTTGAGAGAGGTTCTGAAAGCACATCTCTAGATAGATATGTATTCCTCTGTAGGTCTTCCTTAGAAAGAAGCCCAAAGCCCCAGCAGATGTTCTTTTTTTTTTTTTTTTTAAGATTTTATTTATTTATTTGACAGAGAGAGACACAGCGAGAGAGGGAACACAAGCAGGGGGAGTGGGAGAGGGAGAAGCAGGCTTCCCGCCGAGCAGGGAGCCCGATGCGGGACTCGATCCCAGGACCCTGAGATCATGACCTGAGCCGAAGGCAGTCGCTTAACCAACTGAGCCACCCAGGCGCCCCCAGCCCAGCAGATGTTCCGTTGCCACCGTGAGGGGGAGCGAAATGCAGGGCTGACCCTGGAGCACAGAAAGCAGGATGGGAAGACAGAGAAACTGCACTGGGGTAGCCCTGAGCCACGGAGTCGCACCGATCTGAAAGTCACCCCGTTCCTGCACTTCCAACTGCGGCACGGCGGATTTGCAGGACTGTGCCTAGCATAACTGGGTGTGTTCCCCGACCACGAGGGTGTGACACTAGATACACTGGAGAGGTCACAAACACGTGGAAACTGAACAACAGCCAACAGGGCAGAGAAGAAATTGAAAGGGAAATCAGAAAACGTCTTGAGTTCGGCTAGGTGAGTCGGATTTCTAGAACTTGCTCTGAACACTTCCTGAGAGACTACACCTCCCACCTCCGCCCTTCTGTCCCCAGTTGTCACCGGGTGGGCGCGGAAGGCCAAGGTGCCCAAGGCGGCTCGTCCTCCATGCTCTCATCTGCAGCGGGGCAGAACACGTGCTTTGGTGATTATGAGCTGCAGGAACTTGAAAAAGAGCAAATCCGGGGAGAGGCTTTCCCCCACCCCCACTCTCCACACTCATTCTGCTTCTGCAGGGAACACACATTAGCATCCAAAGGAACAGTGTGCCCATCCCAGCTGTTTTCCATCAAGTACTTGAAGAAATGAGGGAGGACGATTCAGCCTGCCCCCAACTGATGACATGTTTAAGCGTCCAAAGGATGAAGGTTGTAAACTGAGAGACAGAGTTGAGAAAAAACAGAGAATTAGAGATGATAGATAGATGATTGATAGATAGATAATAGAAATATGATAGAGATAATAGATGATAGAGATAATTAATAGATGATAGAGATAATAGATTGGTGTAGAGATAATCGATAGATAAATATAATAGATGATAGAGATAATTGATAGGTAGGTAGATATAATAGAAGAATGGATGGATGGATGATTGATAGATGATAGAGGTAATTGATAGATAGAAGGATGGATGGATAGATGACAGACTGATAGATGATAGAGATAATTGATAGATATAATGGATGGATGGATAGATGATAGATTGATAGATGATAGAGATAACTGATAGATATAATAGATAGAAATGAAAGATAATTGAAAATTACCTAGCTAAGTAACAATATAGGGCCTTAATCGTAACTTCCTCACAGAATTTTGTGAAGATTAAGTGGCTTCATATTTAAAGTAGTTAGAACAGTGCCTGCTAATTAGGGAGTACTCAAAAATGGGAGATATGGCTAGGTAGCTACATAGTTAGATATCTACATGGATGGGTGGCCAGACAGATAAAACGACAGGAAGAAAAAGACACAGAGGGTCAGAGAGGACATTTGCATCTAAGATTAGATTCACGCTGCTCCTCAGAGTTCAGGGAATGGGACAAACGTTTGCAGAGCAATGTTAACTGGATGACAGAAATGAAAGCTTCTGTATCAGACCTTCACTCTATGCCAGGCATCTGTATCTGGATCTCACTTAATCTGAGAAACAGCCCTATAAAACGGGTACTATACGATCTCATTTTAGAGGGGGAAATGTAGGTTCTGAGAGCTGAAGTAACATGCCCAGGATCACACATCTCCCAGGGCACGGAGGCAAGCTTCGACCAGACTGGCTGGCTCTTTGGCGGGCACCCCTAACCACTGCGTTAGGCATGCATTCGATCATATGAAGCAGGCAATGAGCATCGCAGTACATAAATATTCCTACACGTCTGATTAATTCTTCTTTTCTAAATTTATTTTTGAGAGAGAGCACGAGCAGGGGGGAGGGGCAGAGGGAGAGAGAGAATCTCAAGTAGACTCCCTGCCAAGTGTGGAGCCTGATGCGGGGCTCAATCCCACGACCCTGAGATCATGACCTGAGCCGAAATCAAGAGTCGGATGCTTAACTACCTGAACCACCCAGGCGCCCCATGTCTGATTAATTCTTTAGTCTCAAATCCTAGAAGAAAGGTAACTCAGTCAAAAGTTATACACATTTTGAGGTTCTTGAGGTCTATTTCCCAGCTGTCTTTCAGCCAGAGAGCACAAGTCTGTGGTTCCTGCAGCACCACGGGGAGTACCCATCTCATCCAAGAGTTGCAGTTGTCGGGGGAGGTTATGGAGAGCGTTGGGCAGCACTAAGCACCGATGTTGCAGGAGAAAGACTTACCTGAATTACTGACCCAGGATTCACTGAATGCTCAGATTTTCAAGGGGGTTGGACTGGTGAGGCTGGAATCGTGATATCAGAAGGATCAAGATGCTGAAATGACAGAATAGGAATCTGGGGTCAGAAAGGGGAATTTCAGAGTGGACTGCCTTAAGAATGTTTCTGTGCAAAGCCGAGGAGAGCCAGAACAGAGTGGGGCCAGTGGCCGTCACGGTGTCGAGGGCACAGACTCGGGTGGTGTGGCTGACTCATGGGCCAGCGTCACCGGAGATGACCGACAGAAGCAGGTGTGGGGAAAGGTGGAAAAGCACGTCTTTGCCTTCAAAAGGTGAGTAGATATCAAGTTGCAGAAAATTTTAGGAGTGCAGAAGATGTATCAGCCTCCCTTGATTCTGAATCGGAGGGCGTGTGGAAAATGGTGCAGGGGTGGTTTCACAGGAGAGGATGGGCTCCTTTGTGTTAGTGGGGTGGGCTGTGTCTCTCTAGCTTCTGCTCTCCTTGTAGGGGCATGGATAATATTAGTGGAATTGAAAAGCGGGTAGCATACTGACAGCAATGGACAGAGAGAGAGCTGCTTTGGGCTCTGCCTGGAATGCTCCCGCCAGATATTACATGGATGGCTCCCTTCCTTCAGAGTCTGCAACACAGTAGACTGAAAAATAGGGTGAATAAAATAAAATGAGCTAAAAGATGATAAAGAAGATGGGGCAAGACCTTGACACGGCCATGGTGGGCTGTGTCTTTCTTGTTAATAACTCTGGTTACCATGATGGTTTGAGGTGTATCACGGAGAAAGGGACTTCTTTCTAAATATACATTCAAATTTTACCCCTTTTGAGCTAGGCAAGCTCTACAAACCCATGCTCACCCCCTATGTAGTCCAGCAATTTGGCATTCATAAAACCCTCCTAAGGTCTAAAAATTTAGACCCATGTTTATCTTTTCAATCTTACCAAGAAATCCCTTCACATCGCACAACAAAGCAGTGAACTGGAAGTCCTTGTACAGTTCAGAAACAGTCTTGCATGAAAGCTTTTTTTCTCCTTCCCATCTGAGAAAGGAGGTAAAAATGGGTTTGGGGGAGTCGGGTCCTATGCATCCTTCCTTCCTGGAGCTCAGCTTTGAGCAATCGCCTCTGTTCATTGTGCTGAATATTCAAAGTGTCCCTCAACCAGTTCTTCATTATCTTGGATTGAAATTAAGGGATTACAATTAATTCTCTAAAGGACATAGTAATGCTATCGCTTGGGGTTGGGGACTTTTTTCTTTTTAAGATTTTATTTCTATTTATTTGAGAGAGAGAGAGCACACGTGAGCGGGGGGAGGGTCAAAGGCAGAGGGGAAGCAGACCCCCCACCGAGCATGGAGCCCAACTCAGGGCTCAATCTCACAACCCTAAAATCATGACCTGAGCCGAAACCAAGAGTCGGACACCCAGCCGACTGAGCCACCCAGGTGCCTAAGACCCCATTCCCTTTCCTGCCCATAACCCAAAGATCAGTGCTGGTCCAACACCTCTGGGTTCCCCACTCCTGTGTCCACAACTTCATCCCACCCCCACACCCCCGGAAGGAAGGACTCAGTCACCCTGACTCTCTCCAACATCCTCACATTTCACTGCCCTGCCATGTAGTTTTGGGACAGTCACACTCCATCACTTCACTGGTGAGCTGAGGAATCAGGTCAGATGTTGCAAAGGAGTAGCCCCAACCAGACCCTTGAGCATGCTTTGGGTGCGTCAGCTTGTCTTTGTTTTTCTTTTTTTTTTTTTTTTTTCATCTGTTTTGGTTCCTCTGCAGTGTTTTGGAAGAATTGCAGGCTGAGTCACCGGTGTGTAGAGTTCAGGAATTCCACATAAAGATCTGGATCTTTGGCTTCTCTCAATGTGTCGGAGGTCTGTAAACACTGGGTCCAAGTCTCCAGTGGGCAGCCACCAGCCGGGGCTGAGGAGCAGCTTTTGATGGAGTGTGTTCTTGCCAGCTCACCAAAGAAAGACCTCACCAGTCCCTATCGGGTACCTCTAGCTCCTTCACCTGTTTCTGCAACCTCTTCGGACCCCTTGTCATTGTCATTTGGAACCCCCTGCCCTAGAAGCCCTCTGATGCTCAAGATTAAAAGATGAATCTGAGACTTTCCCTTGGCTCTGTGATGGGAAGGGGGCATATGCAGTGGCTTTTCACTAGCTCCCCGCCCTGGAATTCAGCACTTCTGATGCCTTAGTGTCCTGGCATCTCTCATTCCCGGGGCTGCTCAGTGTTTCTTCCAAGTAAGAAAGGGACATGGAAAGAGAGCTTCAGGACCAGATGTGCCCGAGTTTGAATCCCAGCTTTGCCACTTCCTAAGTAGCCAACTGTCAATTTCCTCATCTTTAGAAATTATTTTTTAAAAAAATAATAAAAATAGGGGCACCTGGGTGGCTCAGTTGGTTGAGCGTCTGCCTTGGGCTCAGGTCATGATCCCAGGGTCCTGGGATTGAGCCCCACTTCAGGCTCCCTGATCAGCGGGGAGTCTGCTTGTCCCTCTCCCTCGGCTACTCTCTCTGTCAAGTAAAGAAATAAAATCTTTAATAATAATAATAATAATAATATCTTCACGGAGTTGTTATGAGAACAGTTAGGTATTGAGACTGCGTCGTAAAGAAGCAGGCTAGGAAGGGACCCACTGTGAAAAGGTGCCTTCATCAAATATAATCATATTTATAGTAATCACAGGCACTAACTAGACTCCACATGATGTGCTAAGGACATTGTGCGCCTGACCTCACTGAACCAATGACAAACACAGAGGCTCAGAGAGGTTAAGTAATTTTCCCAAGATTGCACAGCTAGTAAATAACCAGATCCAAACCCAGGCATTTGGACTCTGGAGCCTATTTGCTTAACCATCACGTAGCCATGTCCCAAAGTACTACTAATCTCCGTTTGCATGACTGAAGGAGGGGACATGGTTGGATCCAAGGTCACAAGTAAGGACGTGGAAGACACTTTGTACTTTTCCCAGAAGGGATTCATCCTCACCTGCATCTTATCGACTCTGAGCAACGCCTCTGAGTCTCCTGCTTTCATCCTCTCCCCCCTCCTCCACCTGTTTTCCACACGACAGCGAAAATATTGCATTTAAAATACAAACAGGATAAAGCAGTGCCTGCCCCAAGCCTTCCAGTGGCTTCCCAGCATGCTGAAAATATAATTAAGCTCTCACATCTGCCCAGACCTTCACCTTCATGACTCATCTTCCCCTCCCTCCTCGCTCCAGCCTCACTGGCCTCCTCCCAGCACCAGGCCTTCTCTGCCCCAGGGCCTTGGATCTGGTTGTTCCCTCTACTGTCCTGTCTTCCCCAGGCCTCACCTAAGCCTCTCCTCCGACCTTCCTGACTCTCCAGTCTCCACTGTCTGCCCCCAAACATGCCCTGGACTGTTCGTATCCACTGAGCTGGAAACGGACTCGTTCACTGCTGTTTCCAAGGGCCACTTGATACCAGACCTGGCCACAGCAGGTGCTCATGAGATTTCTGAACAAATGGAGTTTTTACCAGAGGGATTGCACTGGGGGCCCCACCTCTTCCCACATCCAAACCGTTTACAATGAGACTCTACGACTTCCTCATCAGGACATGGGGGCTTTCTCCTCACCCTTGGATACGGGCTGGCCTTGCAGCTTGCTTTGGCTAAGAAGACCTGGCGGAAGTAAGAGGTGCTGTCTTCAAGCCTACGCCCCACGAGGTCTTGCTCATTTCTGCTCTGCTTGCTCACTCTCGAAACCCTGCCACTGTGGTGAGAAAAGGCCCAGACTCGTCTGAGAATGGGCACCTTGTCTTAGGTTGATTTTGCTTGCCGATAGCTAACCCCCATCTCTTTCCTCGTCTCTTCCTCACACCCTCGTGCTGTCACCGGGAGCCGGGAAGGAAGCTTTTAGCAAGGGGTGATGAAGATGAAGGAAGCAGCCTCAGGGTGTATTTTGGAAGTGAAATCAGAATGGATTCAGGGAACCAGTGAGCAGGCACCGGCCGTAGAGACGATGATGAGGAGGGACCAGGGCACTCCTGTGGTTCACCTCCTCACAAACAGGTAAGGGGCAGAGTTGGGGTTCACACCTGATGTGCTGACTCCCTTTAACTGGGGACAAGGGAGGGGTGAGGAGGCAGCAGCCAAGGGGAGCCCCAGGAGAAACCAACTCACCCCCACTGGGTCCCCACAGAGCTGCTATGTCAGGACCCTAAGATGATGAAGCAGGAGGGAAACCCCCACATGGCCGACTGGAGCCTCTGGCCTCCTGCAAGTTCCCACAGGGACCGCGACGGGCAACAGTGTTGCTCCCTGTCGCTTAAGAAGGAAGCAGGGAAGTCCAGAACCACAGTCCAGGCTTCCTGGTCTGTGGTGCTGGTGGATGGAGATAGGACTGCAGAGAAGGTGGCTTGTCACGGGGGCTCTGAGGTGACCCAGCCTCATCACAGTGGCAATGGGCAGGGTCACACTACTGGTTTTACCTGCTTGCTTCTCTTCACATGCAGAGTCTGCAATCGACATACCTTCCTTCCTTGGCTCCCCATCACTGCTGGTCTGTGCAAAGCCCTATTTTGTTTGGCTCATTCATGGTCGACCAGCAGAATGCCAGACCTCGCTGGGAAGAGGAATGCAAGAACCGGGACCGTCTGGTTGGTGGGAGAGTGCGGGAGAGCAAGGCTGCTGCGTCCACACTGGTTAATGACCCGCAGGACAGTGAACCCTAACGCCTGGGGCTATCTTGTCTATTGGAGTGAACAAAAATAGTCACACGAACCAGCTTTGCGCAAGTTAACCTCCAACTTGGCAGGAGTGCTAAATGGCGGCCTCCAAACAATTGTTAGTCACGGTTTCATTTACAAGATGACCCTCAGAAAGGACTTTAATGCTCTGCATGATTTCATACGGAGGTACCGTTGAATGTTCTTATTTCTGAGTTTTGGGCTTTTCCCGAGCAATGTGGGCGCACCCCCTCTTCCCCACTCTCCCGGGGATGGACTTTGGGTAGCTCCCACTCGCTGCCACCCGAGCAACATCAGGGAGATGGACACCTGTGGCCGCGGTGAGTCTGGGCGCAGGGCGGAGGGCCGCTGGGGGGTCCTGTCCGCAGCACTCTGCACCCCCACCAGCGGGCACCGAGCCTCCTGTTGCCCTTGCGGAGGGTCCTTCTGTCTCAGCCTTCCCGTATCTTCTTCCTGTCGGGGGGCTGCCCCCCAGGTCTCGGTGGGACACACGTGGAAGCTGGCCAGAAGCGTGCGCGCCCCGGCGGGCACCGAAGCCCCAAACACCTGACCGCCAACCCTAACCACGAGCTGGGCTCGGGGGTACTTGGCGTCCTGAGTGCGGGACACCGTCATCATCAGTCCCCACTGACGGAGGCGGTGTGTGTCGAGGGCTCCCCAGAGGAAACCAGGGTCCGGGAGAGCTTGTCAGAAGGGGCGGAGCCTCACCAGGCAAAGCCGCGTTTGCGGGGGAGGCGGAGGCGCCACGGCCGCTGCGTGATGAGCGCGCGCCGGGCCAGCGGGGTCGCAGCCACTCACCCTTGCGGCCTCCGCCTCTCCATCTGTGTGATGGGGACAGCCTCGCTGGACTGTGCTGATAAACGAGACGGTGGATTGCGGCGCTGACAGGGGGCCTGACCCACAGCCAGCAGCAGTTCGTCCCGTTATCACCGGCCCTCCCCGCCTCCGGAGGTCCTGCAGCAGCAGACGCGGCTTCTCCAAGCGGTTCCCCCTCCTGGACGGGGGGCACGGCGGCACGGCCGTGACGCGGGCGGTGTGGGGGCTCGGGCCGGCAAGCAGGGAGTCTGCATTCACTGCTCCACTGGACCTCCGACCTGCCCTTGCCACCTGTCTCACACGGCGGGTGCTGACACCTGGGGGCTGGCCCAGGGCACCGCGGCAGACTCGCGGCATTCCTTGAGGCTGCTGGCCCCCAAGCCTCCCTCGGCTGTCTGGGGACTGCTCTGCCCCACAGGTGTTGGAAGGGGGAGCCGGCCTCTAGCTACAGATACCTGACGGTCCAGCTAGTCACCCTCCCAGACTCCCTTGCGGCCGGGGCCTAGGCCGGTCAGGCGCAACGGCATCTTCAAGAGAAAACACCAGGGTTTGAACCCCAGGACTGTGCTGAACCGAGCACAAGGCGGGGGGCGGGGGAGCTGAGGAGGCAGGCCAGGGTCTGCACTCCACCGTGAGCCACCCCCATCCCTCCCCCTCTGACGGGGTCCCAGACCCACGGCCCGCAAGCTCATACCCCATCCTCACCAAGAGATCGGATTCTTCTCTTGGCAAAATGGGTTCCCCAAGACTTACTGATACTGGTATTTGGGGGCCTCCTCCAACGAAGGCTCTAGCAATGGGCGTGGGGACCACTGCTGTTTACAGATGTAGACTCGTGCGCCAGGAAGCCACAGGCTGAGATTAGAACCCTGGTCGGTCTGGCACTAAGCCAGTGCCTCCCTCGAGCCTCGTTCTGGCCTCTAAAGACAGCAGTGGAGACACCTGCCGCTGGACCCCCAGGTGGGCTGGATGAAACCCATCTCCCACCACCTCCTCTCCAGGCTCAAGGGCCAGGAACTGGTGCCCAGGGCCCCCCATGCCATGGGGAGTCCGCGGGGGGCCGCTACACAGAACCTGGGACTCCGGTCGGCACCTCTCATCAACAACTTTATTACTCTCCAGATGCTGGTGAACTGTAGTCTCCACAGTGCTTCCCAGGAGCAGGCATCTCTGTCCATCACGCGCCTTCCCGGCCGCAGAGAGGGGCGAGACCAAGGAGCCCACTAGCAGGGCCCGGTCCATCCTGTCACGACCATCACCCCTCCGCTCCCTCTCCTCCGCTGGGGAGGGGTCTCCTAGGGACAAGCTCCTGTCTCCTTCCTTCAGCCTCCTCTGGATCCAGGGCCCGCCTGGCGCCCCTGCCCTGCGCTCCGCTCCTGGGCACCAGGCCCGCCTCGCTGCGTCCGGGGCCTCCGGCAGGTGGACAGGGAAGGGGGGCGCGGCTCGTGGACGCACCTGCTCGGAGTGGGAAGGCCCGGGAGCCGTGAGAACCGAAGAGGGAAGCGTGGCCCGGACGGAAAGGGCAGAGGAAACAGCAGGGTTCCGACTCAGGAGCCGGCGCTGGAGGAGGAGGGCCGCGGGCCGGGCGGGCCGGGCGGGCCGGGCGGCGCGGGCGCGGCGGCGGCTACCCCAGCGGCCAGGCCGGGAAGGCGCCCCCGCCGCCGGGCCCCGCCGCCGCGCCCGCGCCGCCCGCAGCCCGGCCGTGGATGCGCTGGTGGCGCAGCACGTGCTCGCGGCGCCCGAAGCCCTTGCCGCACTGCCAGCAGGCGAACGGCCGCGCCCCCGAGTGCGTCTTGCGGTGGCGCACCAGGTGCTCGCGCCAGTAGAAGGTCTTGCCGCACTCGCAGCAGGCGTGCGGCTTCTCGCGCGCGGGCAGCGGGCGCAGCGCCGGCCCGGGGCCGCCGGGGTGCGTGCCGCGGTGGCGCCGCAGGTGCTCCTTGCGCCGGAAGGCCTTGCCGCACTCGGGGCAGGCGTGCGGCTTCTCGCCCGCGTGGCTCTGCCGGGGGCGCAGCAGGTGCGCGGGCTTCAGGGCCGCCTTGCCGCACTCGGGGCAGGAGGTGGTGCCCGGGGCCGCCGCCGCCAGGAAGGCGGGCAGGCCGGGCGCAGGCGGCGCCGCGGGGGCCGGGGGAGGGCTGCCCGGCTCCTGCTTGTAGGGGCGCGTGGCCTGGGCGTCCCCCGTCGCCAGCACCTCAGCCCCGGGGGCCGCATCTCCTGCCAGGCAAAGGCACAGAGTGAGGGCAGGGGGCTCTGCACACGGCGGCCGGCGGTGCAGGGCGCAGGGGGCGGGAGCAAAGCTTAATGCCAGGAAACCATGGGGGCAGGGGGCGGGCTGACTGCAGGCTTCTTACGCATCCCTGTGTCCCCAGGACCCGGCACAGCGCTCGGTACACACTGCAGGCAGTGCCTAATAAACGGATGCACGCCTGGATGCATGGGTGTGAGGGAGGATGGGTGAATGGAGGATGAAGATGAGTGGCGTATCCATGAGCAGCTTGATGGAGGAAGGCGGCTCAGTAGGTAGGTGGATGGAGGAGGTGGATGGAGGAGGAGATGGGTACAGACGGAGGGGTGGAGGACCGAGGGATGGATGGACTGGTGGTTAATAACAGATGGACGATGGGGCGCCTGGGTGGCTCAGTGAGTTAAGCATCTGCCTTCCTCTGGGGTCATGATCTCAGATCCTAGGACTGAACCCTGTGTCGGGCTACCTGCTCATTGGGGAATCTGCTTCTCCCTCTGCCCCTTCGCCTGCTAATAAATAAATAAAATCTTAAAAAATAAAATTCCTGGTTTAAAAAAAAATAGATGATGGATAGATGGGTAGGTGGACAGTAGGTGGATAGATGGGGGGTGGGGGGTGGATGGAGGAGAGGGGACAGTGGGGAGACAGATGTATGAATGAGCAGGGAGGCGGGCTGATGGGTGAACAGTAGGTGGGTTGACTGCACGATGTGTGAAGGGGGTGGGTGACATCTGAGTGGGTTTTGGGTAGACAAATGATTGGGTGGGTAAGTCAGGTGGGCAAAGAACCTCACATTTCCTTTCTCCAGGTTTTTAAACTGCTCTATGGAGTTCCAGGGAGATAAGCTCCGGCTCATGATTCAATTTACAAAAACAATCCCAATGCAACAAAAAAAGTGTGAACCCCCTGCCCCCACCCACACATTCCCTCCATGCCAGCCACCAGGTCCCAAGCCTTGGTGTCCTGGCCTTTCCTGGGTGCAGAGACACCTGCTATCAGGGGCAGAAGCCACCGTCCTCACCCTGGCTCCGGCCTTGACTTGCTGTGTGGCCTTAGGCAAGCTGCTTGAGCTCTCTGGACCTTGGGTTTCTACTCTGTTAGACACAGGCTTCCAGAGAGCTGAGTGTACCAGTGGGTCAACCAACGGTGGTGTTGGCTTGGTACAGAGCAGTGTGTTTAAAAATGTAAAAAACATTTGAAAATCAGGCAGTTTCATAAAAATCCAAACTTTGTCTTTTCTTGAGAAAAAACTGTTGATGTACTGGGGCCACATCCCCACGTGGCAACACAGGCTGCAGGAGAGCTGGCAGGATGGTGCCTGGCACACACCAGCAGCTGGTATGCATGGCCGGGCGCCGGCTATCCTGTCTGACCTCGCTGTGCCCTCCGTGGGGGCACGTCTGATCCATCTCCAGCCCTGGGGCCTAGCTCAGGGCCAGGCACATGGCAGGGACACCAGGAATGTTCACTGAGCAAATGAAGGATGAGCAGAAGGGGGACCCCTCAGGGTGGGAGAGGAGCATCATGTGGGTGAGGGGGTGAGCTACTCACCTAAGGGCATCATCCCAACATCATCCTTTCCAACGGTCACCCCGGAGCCTTCTGTCACATCCTGAGGTGCCCTCACTGCTGGTCCCTGAAATGAGAGATCCCACACTCAGAAATGAGAAACCACAGCGATAGCCTCTAATTTTTCTCCCCGGCAACCCCCACTACGTTGAGGCAGTCATCAAGTTCTCCTACCAGGCCTCCTGCTGGTCACCATGTGAGGGACTCGTCTGGAGAGCAGACCCTCCAGCCCCCAGTTGACCCCCTCATGAGACCCTGAGTCAGATCTGCCCCAAATTTCTGACCCACGGAAACTGTGTGAGACAACAAATGTTTGTGGTTGCAAGCCTTTAAGTTTGGGGTGATTTGTTCTGTAGCAACAGACAACTGATACACTTGCTTTAAATCCTATCTTAGCTTCGTAATTACTGCCCTCTGGATAAAGTGCAAACTCCTTGACAAAATACACAAGAAAAACACATAAGCTACCTTTAACTCAGGAAAAAAATAAAGGAATGGAACTTTTCCCAGCTCAAACAGTAGACCACTTGTGAGCAGGATGGTGCCAGCCAGAACACCGAAGGTTACTGAAAATGTTTCAGACTATTTTAGGTGTCTTTATGCTATTGTCATTGTTTCTTAAGCCCTTGTCCCCAAGGAACAGATCAGAATCCTAGTGCCAATGAAGGAGAGCTGACTCCTGAGTTCCACACATCCAACCCCCTTCTCGTACTTTACTTCTATCAAATGCAACAGTTAGGATGGAAGTCAGTGATGCCTAAAATTCTATCAACTAGCAAGAAGACTCTGCAGGAAGCTTCCAGAGCCTTTCTCAAACGTGCATTATTTGGAATTTGTGAATGCCCACGTTGTCTGGTGGTGGCAGGAGGAATATTTTGCATGGTCACCTTTTTGCTCTAGCAGACTGTAAACTGATTCCTGACCACCACTCGTGCAGCTCAGGCTGTTATGGTGCTACGGGTGACGACCTGCTGCTTGCTTCCGCTGTGGCCCACGGGCCCCGGCCCCACCTCCTCCTCCAACCCCACCTCTGGCCAGGTCCTTTCCTGGAAGTCCATAGTAGAAAGTTAATGATGCCCTGCGCATGCCAGGTTCTCTCAAACCTCCAAGCTTCAGCATATTCTGTTCCCTCTGCCTAGAGCTCCTTCTCCCATCCCTTTCCCTGTCTACCTCCGACGCCCTTCAAGACTTGACTGAGCCCCCATCCCTGCCACCACACACAGGTTTATGACCCTGTGTGATTTAAGAACAGCCCCTATCCTGCTACCTATCACGCCGCACTCAACAGCTTTATTGAGGTTACAGTGGATGTACATTATAAATGCATGTATTTAAAGCATACGATCCAGTGAGTTTCAACATGTACACACTCTTAAAACTACCATCACAGCCGAGATGGCAAACATATCTAACAGCCCCTAAGTCTCCTTGTGCATGTTTGTGATCTCTCTGAATCCCCAAATTACAAATCAGCAAATGCTGATGCATTTCCCATCACTACAGAGCTGTTTTCATATTCTAGAAACTTTACGTAGAACCAGAGTAAACAGGTATTCTTGTTTGGGGGGGGCGGTTCTCCCATGCAACATAATTATTTAGAGATTAAGGATACTGACCTACAGTTTTCTTTCTTGTAGTATCTTTGCTTTTGCCCACAGAAGGAGTTGGGAAGTGTACCTTCTTCAATGTTTGAAGTTTGTGTGGAGTTGATGTCACTTGTTCCTGAAATGTTCGGTAGACCTCCCTGACAGAGTCACCTTAACTGTCACGCTGCATTTTTATGCCTGTGCTTGCCCATCTCCTCCTACAGATTGTGGGTTCCAGGAGGGCAGGGCCTGGCCTGCCTTCCTTCTGTGGTATCCCTGGTGCCAATCCTTCTAATAACAGCTGTTGTGAGACATCATTCACCTACTGCAGAATTCACCCACTGAAAATACAATTCCGTGGCTTTCAGCGTATTCAGAGTTGTGCAACCATCCCCAGTTTTAGGGTATTCTCATCACCTGCAAACTAAATCTCAACCCCAGCAGCAGCTACTCCCCTTCCCTGCCCCAACCCCCGGGAACCCCAGGCTTCTCTCTGTGTCTGTGGGTGTGCCTGTTCTGGGTGTTGCATTAGTGGAATCTTGCAATCTACGGTCCCTTCGGACTGGCTCCTTCCCCCTTTCCACGCCATGCCTTTGATGGTCACTCTAGCAGGCGTCAGTGCTTCAGTCCCTTGCGTGGCTGAATAATGTTCCCTTGTGAGGCTGGACCACATTCTGTGCATCTATTCCAGTGGGCACACGGGTCGTTTCCATTTTCTGCCTATTACGGAGACTGCTGCCCTGCTGCCGTCCACCTCACATCAGGGACAAGTTTCGTGTGCACGTACACCCAGCAGTGAAGTGCTGGCTCACAGGGTAGCAGGTGTTTAACCCTCACAGGAACTGCCAGACGTCTCCCACCGCGACTGCCCCGCATCACATTCCCACCACCGTGGAAGAGGACGGGGCTCCACTTCCTGGTGCCTCTTCCGACAGTCCTCAAGGGACGCCAAGCGAGTGAATGATGGATGGGGAAAAGGGTCAAGCCGTCTGCCTTTGCTCTGGTGAAGAAGGGGGTCAAGATAAGGGGGTACCGAGGTGTGGAGTCAGGGTTCGGCCTAAGGCCGACCAGGTCCCCAGGTGCCTCCAGCCACAGGCCGGCCTGTGGGACCCCGAGCAAGTTACCTCCCACCCTGGGGTCAGGGCAGAGGGGCTGAGGCGGCACTTGATCTCACCCCGAGTCCTGACCCAGACTGGCAGATGCCGAGGGCACAGCAGAGGGAACTCCCCAGCTCCGCGGCCCTCGGTGGGGCTCCTGCGACCCACATGTGACATCTGCCCCCACTGCAGCAGGCCAGGAGCAGGACACGTGCCAGGCGCCTGCCACCGTGGGCCTCTGCGGCAGCTCCATCAGCCCACCCGCGAGCAGAGCCCAGGAAGCCACACCGCCAGCAGGTTCTCCTAGCGATTCTAGGGCACACACATCCTCTGGATGGCCTGGGGCTCTCTGGTTTGGGGTCCCAGACATGGGATGCTAGACTGTGCAGAGACCAAGCCCCAGCCACAAGAAGATACCCAGGCAGAGTGGCCATGGGGATGAGGCTGGGGTCCTGGGTGAGGCACTGGGGGCTCGGTATCTGGCGTACAGCAGGGCTTAGAAGCAGGATCTAGAGCCAGGGCCTGTGGGTTCTATTCCTCCCACTGCCCCCTAACTAACCCTGTGACCTTGGGCAAGGTGCTTGACTTCTCTGGGACGCACACTGCCATCTGGGAGACAGAGTTTCAGTATGCAGTACTGACCCCTCAGGGCTGGGTGGAGACAGGCAGGCCAGGTTAACAACGGGATTTACGGGGGGCTCTTAGCCTCCAGAGGGGCTGGAGACTAGAGTCAGACTATAGAGCTGACCTCCAATAAGAAGCCTGGACACCGGGCTCGAGAGCCTCCCTCCTCAGCATGGTCAGCACGACCTGGTGCTGTCCCCACGCGCCCCCAGGAGAGCCGTGCTCCTGGACCTGCCCCGGGTGCCTCTCCCCTCGCGGACTATGCTCTGCGTCCCTTCACTGAAACAAATCGGAACTGTGAGCACTCCAGCTCTCATCAGGTCCTGAATCCTTCTCATGGATTACCAAACCCAGGCTGGTCCTGGGAACCCCGAACTTGCAGGTGGTATCAAAGCAAGGTGTCCTCGGAGGAACCCCCAGGCGCCGCACATGGAGCCGCCTGGCCGCCAGCACTGCCCATCTGGGTTCAAGTCCGAACTTCCCACCCTGAACTCGTTCATGTATTTATTCCAGCTCTACCAGGTGAGGGGGCGGGGAGTGAAGGCAGGAGGCCCGACCACGGTCCGCAGGCCACGGTGAGGAGGCGGGACGTCTTTCCCCCGAAGATTCAGAGTCTAGCCAGAGTCTAGCCGACCACTCAGCCTCATCAGCTGAGCAAGCCCTGCGGGCCACCCTGAGCCACGACCACGCCGCCACCTTCACCGCCCCGGGCTCGCTGCTGCCCTCGCCTTCCTGCACGCTGGCCCTGCCAGTGCCATCGGCTTTGGCTCTCACCTCTGCTGGCTGCCCCGTGCTCTCTTCCTGTGCTGCTGGCTGCCTCTGCCGCCCCAGGATTCCCTGAGCGCTGACCGTCCGGAGGCTCAGGCCGGCGGGCGTTTCCTGTTGTGCTGACTGCCGCCCGGGCTCTCCCAGCCTCCCAGCTCCTGACCGCCCACCCGCTTTCCTTTGGGTTTCCTGGGCTGGCAGACACCCGGCCCCCTGGCTATTGTGTGCCTGGGGCCGGATGCAGGTGACTGACCGTGGCCAATTCGGTCCCCCCTCCGCCGTCTCCCCTAACCTGCAGAACAGACCAGGCTCTCCCTCCAAACCTGACAGGAAACTTCGCACTGCCCGCCTGCATCCAACAGAGGAGGCCTGGGGGTTACTCACCGCTCCCTGGCAAGCCCCTTGTTGAGCACCTACTAGGTACCAGGCACTACTCAAAGCGCCAGGGACACAGCAGCGAACAAGACAGACAAAGCCCCTGCGCTCGACGGCCTATGTTCTAGTCACTGCTAGACGAACCACAAGTAATGATTTCCACCAGGCTGACTCGGCCAGGTAGGGGTTTCTCTCGGCCCCCTGGAATCGCAGCAGCCAAGAAGAGCCCTTAGAACCGTGGAGGCTCACATGCTGCCCGTGGCAATGCCAAATGCCACAGCCACCTCGGGAAGCAGTTCGGCGGTTTCTTCTAAAATCAAACACGCCTGCCATGAAAGCCAGGCCTCGCACTCCCGGCGATCCACTCTGGCTAAATGAAAACTCGTGTTCGCGCAGAAATGCACACCCAGGTCTTTAAAGCAGCTGCATTCAAAATCACTCAACACTTGGGCGCCTGGGTGGCTCAGATGGTTAAGCGTCTGCCTTCGGCTCAGGTCACGGTCCCGGGGTCCTGGGATCGAGCCCCACGTCGGGCTCCCTGCTCCTTGGGAGCCTGCTTCTCCCTCTGCTTCTCTCTCTCATGAGTAAGTAAAATCTTTAAAAAAAAAAAATCACCCAACACTGGAGACCACTTCTGGATCCTTCAACGGGGGAGGGACAGAGAAACTGGTGTGTCCACACCACGGGGCTCTACTTGGCGTGAAAAAGGAACCAACTACCAACACGCGTGACCACATGGGTCAATCTCAAAGGCATGGTGCTGAGCAAAAGACCCAGCCCCCAAAGCTCACACACTGTGAGTCCCTTTCTGTGCTTCCCCAGAAGATGGACCGCAGACTGGCAGCCTGCGGGGCCCTGGGGCAAGGGCGCCTGTGAGGACGGCCCGCGGGGGTCTGGGGTGACGGCACAGGTCTGCGTCCTGACTATCGCTACAATTAACCACCATGTGTTGATAATGCAGAGAACTGTACACCCCCCAAAAAGTTAAAAATACACTGAAGCCAAGTGCCTGGGTGGCTCAGGTCATGATCTCAGGGTCCTGGGATCGAGCCCCTCGCTGGGCGTTAGCAGGGAGCCTGCTTCTCCCTCTGTCGCTCCCCCTGCTTGTGTTCCCTCTCTCTGTCAAGTAAGTAAATAAATAAAATCTTAAAAAATAAATACACTGAAGCCGTGGCCCTGGCACCTACTAACAGGAGACTCAGCTCCTGAGTGAGAGCCGCCGCCGCAGTGATCTCCAAAGCCCCCCCGTGTTCCCATGGCCTGACAGCAGCGCGCGCACGATGCGTCAGGGAAGGCTCTGCCCCACACAGGCGAGGACCCAGACCTCAGAGACCCCCTCGTCCCGGAGGCGTTTGCCACACTCTAGCTCTCCAGGCCCCTCCGCCAGTCTGAGTGCAAAGGCCTGACGCCCAGGCTACCATCACTCTTCACACCTTTGCTTTAAACGGCTGTCTGTCCCACCAGCAACGGGGAAGCGGCATCAGACGGGCCGCGGCCGGTTCGGTGCGATCCCGCAGAACAGCATCACCCCAGGGATGCTCTGGCCAGCTCCCAGCCCGAGGCTGCTCTCCTACCAGAGAGAGAGAACGACTCCCCGGCACCCAGGGAAGCCATCAGGGAATCACCGGGAACCACGATTCCACGAGAATCTGACGCCGTGCTCCCACACCTCTTCCGAGTCCTCGGACACGCACCTGCCTCTGCACCAGGCACAACGGTCCCTGGCCCCAGGGCTCGTGGCTCTGTGCCCTCACGTGGCAGAAGAGCTGGGACTCTGCGGGTGTGACTGACGTGAGGGGCAGCCCAGCATCATCAGGAGGGTCGGGCTCAGGAGAGGACGTGAGCTTGGAAGCAGAGGTCAAGTGAGGCCCAGGGATGGGTTCTTCCCCAGAGCCTCCAGGAGGGACACAGCCCTGCCCACACCCAGGTGTCAGCCAGACCCGAGTCGGACTCCTGGCCTCCAGAACTCCGAGTGAGCTCGTCTGGGTTGTCTTTCAAGCACAAGCTCTGCGGGGACGTGTGACGGCGGCAGCGACAGGGAACATGGCCCAGAGAAGTGGCCGTGAGGGGAGGCCCCAGAGGGGTGAGGCTGGTCCCAGGAAGCGGGGGAGAGCCCATCAGAGGAGCCGGGCCTCAGCGACGAAGGGGCTGACAAGACCACGCTGCGTCCCCAGCACCTGACGGGCACCACGCGCGCTCACAGTGGATACTCTCCCATCTTTCTGACTGCTCGCCCCCGCGCCCGCCAGGCTCCCGCCACCTCTCACCACGCGGCCACATGTGGCTGCTGAGCACCTGGAAAGGGGACACGTGCCACCTGCCAAGGTGGTAACAGGCTGGATACGCTGAGTTCAACAAATTAACGCCGCATGTTCCTTCCACCCTTTCTAACGTGCTACAGGCAGGACTCACGTCCCATTTTCACTGGACAGCGCGGCTCTAAACCGCGGGTCAGCGGGCTTTTCCTACAACGGACCAAGAGTAAAGGTTTTCGGCTGTCTGTGTCCGCACTGCCCCACTCAGTCCTTGTGGCAAAAGGGCCACAGGCACCGCGTGAATGGACTGGCCCGGCTGTGCCCCCGGGAGGTTCTGTCACACTCCACAAAAACGGTGGGGGCAGGGCCCACAGGCTCCTGGCGGGCGAGCCCCTGCCTTTAGTAAAGCATTTGGTCTCCCCGGGAGGTGACCTCTAAGGCCCTGGGGCATCCACCCGACACGAGCGACTGTGTGCGTGGGGGCCTGGGGCCACACTGGCCAGTCCAACAGTGCAGTTTATAACAGAGGCTTTCAGACACCCAAGATGCGCTCAGCCTCCAGGGGGGCTGGAGGGCGAGGCAGGTCATGCGTGCACGGCGGAGCCCAGCAGGAACTCTGGGCACCAAGGCTCAAGGAGCCAGCCCGGCCGGCGATACCGCATGCACCCTGTCACGCTCCGTGGCCAGGAGGACCGTCCACATGCCCCCGTCAGAGGACAGCTAGAGGCTCCGTGCACGGGGCTGGGCTGGAGCCCTGCGCCTCCTCCCCCCGCGGACCGGATCCGCGTCCTTCTGCCGTGACAAACCCCAACTGTGAGCAAGACGGCTTTTGGATGGTTCTGAGTCCTTCTGAATCGTTCAACAGGAGGGCGTCTGGGGACCACCCCTCTGCACCGCGCTCCCAGCCTGACGCACACACCCGCCCCACAGCCTCCCCACGCTCGATCGTGTCCTGAGACCAGCGGCCCTCGGGAGAGCAGAGGCCAGGCAGGGAGCGGGGAGGCCGGTCTCCAGCCAGGTGAGGGGGCAGCTGAGGGGCGTGGGTGCGAGCAGGGCCCCCCACCCCGCCGACCCTGCGCTCACCCAGAGCTCCTCCAGCAGGGCCACAGCGTCCTCCCCGCTTCGGGGCCGCCGGCTGCACACCCAGGCCTGGATGTCGGCGGGGAGGGCGCTCAGGAACTGCTCCAGCACCAGCAGCTCCAGCATCTGCTCCTTGGTGTGCAGCTCGGGCCGCAGCCACTGGCGACACAGGGCACGCAGCAGGCCCAGCGCCTCGCGGGGGCCCGGCGCGTCGCCCAGGTGGAAGTGCCGAAAGCGGTGCCAGGGCGAGTCCAGGGTCAGGCCCTCGGCCGACGGGCCTTCCTGCTTCACGGGCTGGGGAGACGGGACCTCCATGGGGGTCGTGGGCCCCGCAGGGACGGCAGCGCCTGTGGGGAGGGGAGTTCAGCACCGTCAGAGCCCAGCTCAGTGACTCGAGAAACCACTGCCTCCGGCCGGGTGCACCCCACGCGTGCCCACATCAGAGGTCAGGGCCGGTGCCCTCTGTGCCTCCGTTTCCCCTGTAGGTCGAATGCTCCCCTACCTTGCACGGCCGAGGGAGGAGTGCCTGGGAAGGAAGGCGCCTGTGGGCTGCTGTGCCCAGGGCCCTGCACACAACAGGTGCCGAAGGGAGGGAGATTCGGATCCCCGTCCTGGGACGGCCCAGGCTCGGACCCTGGCTCTGCCCTTCCCTGCGGGTGGCCGCGGGCCCTGCTGTTGCTCGGTCTCCTCCCTCAGCTTCGAGTGACGGGTAAACACACAGAGAGCTGGAACAGCGCGCGGCACCAGCAAGTGCTCAGAAAGCCCTGAGCTCTCGTCAGCGCCCTCGTCTTCGTAACTGCTCGCCCCGAAGACACGCACACCCCGCGTCCCCAGCGTCCCCTGCAGCAGGTGCTCACGACGCCTACTCCAAAGCCGCCCTGCAACCGCTTCCTCATTCACGGTCCCCCGAATCCACACGAAGCTCTAACCCCAGCACCACGGTATCTGGAGGCGGGCTTGGGGAGATGAGTGGGAGCACACGAACGTCCGCTGAGCTGCTACAAGCTTCAGTTAGGAGACGAGTAAGTCGTGGGGGGCGTCGAACGTACAGCGTGGCAACTGGGGCTCACGAGACCGTGCTGTCTGCTTGGAAGCTGCTCGGGGAGTGAGCTTACAAGCGCTCATCAAAGAAAAAACAAGGGTGACTATGCGAGTCAACAGACGTGGACCGAGCTCGCCGTGTCACAATGTACCCACATCAGATTGTCACGTATCTTAACAGAACGCTGTATGTTGGTTACACCTCAATAAAACTGGGAGAAGAGACTGAGAGAAGCCATAAGGATGAGGTCGGAATCCGACAGGATCGGTGCCCTTAGAGGAACAGAAATCTCCCGGATGTGCTCTGCCACGTGAGAAGATGAGCAGGCTGCCCACTGCCGCCCAGACACGGATCGCCCTGCAGCTGACCGTGGACTCTGGCCCCAGAACTGAGAAATAAGCGTCTGTTGTTCAAGCCCCGGTCTGTGGTATTCCTGCGGCTGCCACACGGCTGGGCCCCCAGTCACATCCAGGGATCGGGAACCACAGCGGACTGCAGGACTTGGCCCCCATCCACTCTCCCCTTCCTCCTCTGTCTAATCCCCCCGCCCCCAAGGAAGCTGTGTGCCCTCCTCTTCCTCTTCCCCATTCCTGAAGGAGGGGACCCGGACGCGGCAGTGGTTCCACCAGGGGTGACGTGACCCCAGGAGACAGCTGGAAATGTCCGGAGACTCCTGACTGCTGGATGGGGGCAGGGGAACGGTGCTGCCGGCAACCAGCGGGGGGAGGCAGCTGGGAGTCCTACAGCCCACAGGCATTGGAGAGATTCGCAGAAAAATAACGCCACATTTCCAATTTTTTGTTTTGGAAAACACGGTTATTTTCCATTTAAAAAATGTTATTTATGTCAATATGTGAAACGTTGATTACTTCTATTTCTAAATGCATTAATAAATACTCTGAAATTTCTTTGGCCTTACATTTTAATATGATATATACCCACAGACACAACTACTATAAATAAAAATGCTTCGGGATCTCCAATAATTTTTAAGAATATAAAGGAGTCCTGAGTTCAAAACGCTTCAGAACCACTAGGACTGGGGTCAGCAAACAGCCACCTGTGGGCCAAATCTGGCCCGCAGCCTATTTTTTTTTTTTTTTTTTTAAGATTTTATTTTTCGGTATTCTCCATACCCAATGTGGGGCTTGAACCTACAACCCCGAGATCAAGAGTCGCATGCTCTACCAAGTGAGCCAGCCGGTTGCCCTTTTTTTTTAAAAAAAAAGATTTTTTATTGATTTGAGAGGGAGAAAAAGAGAGGTAGCGAGAGAAAAAGCACGAGCAAGGGGGAGAGGGGTAAGCAGCCTCCCCACTGAGCAGGGAGCCCAACATGGGGCTCGATCCCAGGACCCTGGGATCACGACCTGAGCCAAAGGGAGACGCTTAACGGACTGAGCCACCCAGGTGCCCGCTTTTTCTTTTTAAATGAAGTTTTACTGGTACATGGCCATGCCTATTTACTCATGCACCATCCATGGCTGCTTTTGAGCTCAGAAGGCAGAGCGGAGTAGATTCAGCAGAGACTGAATAACCTGCAAAGCTGCCCACGTGGTTAGAGATATTTACTATCCGGCTCTTTCCAGAAAAAGTTTGCCAACCCCTGACCTAAAGGATGGTGGGAGACCAACACAGAAGGGATCCTGGATGACCCTGTGGGTCACGGCACTGAGCCCACCCAGAACACCGCTGCACTGTCAGAAAACAAGTTTTTCGGGGCGCCTGGGTGGCTCAGTCGTTAAGCATCTGCCTTCAGCTCAGGTCATGGTCCCGGGGTCCTGGGATCGAGTCCCACATCGGGTTCCCTGCTCTGCAGGAAGCCTGCTTCTCCCTCTCCCACTCCCCCTGCTTGTGTTCCCTCTCTCGCTGTGTCTCTCCCTGTCAAATAAATAAAATCTTTAAAAAAGAAAAAAACCTTATCAGGGCGCCTGGGTGGCTCAGTCGTTAAGCGTCTGCCTTCCGCTCAGGTCATGATCCCAGGGTCCTGGGATCGAGCCCCGCATCGGGCTCCCTGCTCCGCGGGAAGCCTGCTTCTCCCTCTCCCATTCCCTCTGCTTGTATTCCCTCTCTCGCTGTGTCTCTGTCAAATAAATGAATAAATCTTTAAAAAAAAAAAAAAAAGAAAAGTTTTTCTATCTGACTTGAGCCACTGTGTTTGGGGCCTCCTAGCTACAGCAGCTTGCTCTCAATCACGACTAAAGGGCAGTCCTCTCGACCACAGGCAGGAGGTAGACGAGGGCTCTGACCAATGAGATTTAGGAGAAAGTCTGTGTTTGAACAACTCTCCTTTTGGTATGAGAGACTTCTGTGGCCAACCGCATTTTGCAGCAGAGCACAGGAGGTCAAGAGAGAAGATCCCTGGCTCTGGGGCACAGGCCTTGAGTAGCTGGGCTGAAAGGTCCCCTGGATGCCCCAGTCCAAAGCCCTGGCTCTTAACTACTACGCCACTGACCGTGGACATCATCTCGTTGTTGGGCCGGCCACCACAGACCCCCTCATCATCTCCCTGCTCCCAAGCCTGCCGCCCTAGATGCAAATCACCCCACAGCCATCAGAAAGGGTTTTTTCCCCTCAATAAAAATCACATTATGGGGGCACCTGGGTGGCTCAGTTGGTAAAGCGGCTGCCTTCGGCTCAGGTCATGATCCCAGCATCCTGGGATCGAGCCCCACATCAGGCTCCTTGCTCCACAGGAAGTCTGCTTCTCCCTCTCCCACTCCCCCTGCTTGTGTTCCCTCTCTTGCTGTGTCTCTGTCAAATAAATAAACAAAATCTTTAAAAAAAAAAAAATCACATTATGTCACTTCCCCCACTGAAAACGCTCTGCTTCTTTGCTACACAAGGTCTCACATCTGCCTACCTTTCTTGTCTCTTACCATTCTGTCCCTGGCTCTCTCTCCTCCAGCCACACTGGCTCCTTGATTATATTCTCAGACTCAAGGCCAGTCCTACCCCAGGGCCTTTGTACCTGCTCTTCTCCCTCCCCTCCTCTTCGCTCAGCTGGCTCCTTCTCTTCTTTGAAGTTTCCATGCAATTTCCCCTACTTGGAGAGCCTCCTCAAATCATCCGATTAACACAGCATCCACACAGCCTACCGTGCAGTTACTATCCTGTCACCTTTACTAATTTCCTTTTAGTGTTTAACAAGACGGGGTGTTATATTTGTGTGCTGTCTTCCCTCATGAGAATTTAAGCTTCAGGAGAGCAAGAGACCACAGACACAGAGCCCAGCATGCTGGCTGGCACTCAAAGAAAATTTATGGGATGATCAGTCCTATGAGATTAGTATTATTATTGCCCCCATTTTGCAAATGGAGAAGGTAAAGACATCTTGCCCAAAGTCACCCAGGTAATAAGTAACAGAGCCTAAACTCACACCCAGGTGTGCCTGGTTCCACAGCCAGTCTGCAACATCACCTGCCCACCCATCCCTCCATTCGAGGACTGACAAGCCTGGGAGTGGCAGGGAGGGCTTCCCAGGAGACCTGGGCCAGAGCTGAGTCTCCAAAGATGCAGAGAAGCCCACTCTGCTGTGAGAAAGATCCCTCCGGGATGGGACTGGAATCTGACCTGAGGGAGCCAGGCCTCAGGCATCAAGATGCAGGGTCCCGCAATCTCGGGGGGGGGGGGGGGGGGCTCATGGGTAGCCACCAGCTGTCCACAGTGAGTTCCTCAGAGCAGGGCCAGTTGGACCCTTCTCTGGGTCCCAGGGTCACCACCCCTGAGAAAGCACATACTAAGCCATAAGTAAGGTCGTTCCACCACGTGAACCAATCCTTATCACCCACTGAGGGTCCAGTTCCTCCAGGGGCTGCTAGAGTGCCGTGTGTCACCTCCACTAGAATACCTGTAACACTGCTATGTCCAAGGAGTACTGTCCAGCCCAACCAGGCACCCTGGAGACCTCAGGAGACAGCCGCGGAGTGGGATCTGCCTCACACCGCCCCACCCAAGCGTCCCAACAGCCCTGTGAGGAGGAGAAACGGACACTCAGGCAGGACTCAAACCTGGCGCTGTGGGACTCCAGAGCCCACGCTGGTTGCACCCAGCACCTCTGCATGGCGCGCTCAGTTAACAAAACGCTGAAGGGCTGGGCTCTGGCCCCTGGCTGCCACGCTTCCGCTTTCAGCTCTGCCATTTATCCGGTGTGTGACCTTGGACCCATGACTTGCCTGCCCCTCTGCGGGCTGAATTTGTCCGCCTGTAAACCACCACCGATAACAGCTCCTTCCCCACATGGGGCTGCCAGGGATATGAATTAGAAGTGGCCCAGCATACAGTAAGCGCTCAATGAAGACTTGTGTGCCTACTGCAGGGTTTCCAAACTCAGCGCTCGTCATACACAGGGCTGGATAATTCTGTGTTGTGGCAGCCGTCCCATGCCCTGCGAAAGGCTTATCAGCATCGCTGGCGGCTTTCCACCACATGCCGGTAGCCGTCTCCCCAACTCCCCAACTGTGACTCCAAACAGGTTTCCAGATATTGTCCCGTACCCCCGGCTGAGAGCCACCCGTCCACTGGACAAATATTTACTCGAAGCACAAGGGCTCTGGAGCAAATCCCAGTTCTGCAGCCAACCAGCTATCTGTCCTCGGACAAAGTACAATAGCACCTTTTATACACGGGCTCTCCATTTCCTGGGCTGCAGAATGGGGAGGAAGACCCTACCGATTCAAGAGACCCAGCGTGAGTGCGAGTTGCGAGGCAAAGCAAGACGCTGCGAGCAGGGGCTCCTGGGTGGCGCAGGTCATGACCCCAGGGTCCTGGGATCGAGCCCCGCATCGGGCTCCCTGCTCCGCGGGAAGCTTCTCCCTCTCCCGCTCCCCCTGCTTGTGTTCCCTCTCTCTCTGTCAAATAAATAAAATCTTTTTTTTTTAAAGATTTTATTTATTTATTTGACAGAGAGAGACACAGGGAGAGAGGGAACACAGGCAGGGGGAGTGGGAGAGGGAGAAGCAGGCTTCCCGCCGAGCGGGAGCCCGATGCGGGGCTCGATCCCAGGACCCTGGGATCATGACCTGAGCGGAAGGCAGACGCTTAACGACTGAGCCACCCCGGCGCCCAAGTCAAATAAATAAAATCTTAAAAAAAAAAAGGAAAACGCCGAGAGCAGCACCTGGCCCCAGCAAGCGCTCAGGCAGAGCGGGAGCGCGCTTACTGCCACTCGGGGAGGCGCAGGGGGGCACCGCTAGTCACCAACAGGCGCACGGCCATCGGAAGAGGGGACTGGGACCCAAGAGCGGGCACAGAGGGGGACTGGAGGCCGGCTCGGGGGCAGCTTCGGCCCGCGAACACAGCCTGGAGCACTTTGCCCCGCCGGCCAACTGCGTCCCGCGCACCAAGCCCCCGAGCCCCCGACCTGGGCGCTCTGCACCCGGAGAGGGGAGCGCGCCGCCCAGCCTGCGCCTCCGACGCCCAGAGCCCCGCACGAGTGCGAGCGCCCGCGGGCCCCCCGCGCCCCAGGGCCCGGCCCCCGGCCCGCGGCCCGCCCCGCTCCCGGCCCCTCCCCCTCCGCGGCCCTCCCCCACACCCCGCCCCCGTTTTCCACCCTCTCCCGCGTCCTCCACCCCGAGGGGCCACAGCCCCCTCCCACCGCCGACCCTCCCCGGCCCCTCCCCCTCCCGTTCCCTCTCCCATCCCCCTCGCCCACCTCCCGCTTCGCTTGGCCCCCTTCTTCTCCCCTCCCCCCGCTCCCCATCCCTCTGGCCTCCAGCCCCCCCCCAAACCGCATCCAACGGCCCCCCCAACCCCCCTTCCCCTCGCGCTCACCTCACTCTCCCAGACGAGGCCCCCCAAGCCCCCTCACCTCGTCGCACACGCGCACAAAGCTCACCGGGACTCCATGCCCCGGCAGGCTTTGCGCCAAACTCATCCGTCCCCCTCCCCCTAACACTCAGACACCGAGGCGTCCGTTCCGCCCCCCCACCGCGCCGCACCGGCCTCACCTAGAACTACATTTCCCAGGAAGCATCGCGGCAAAAGGACGCTTCCCATTGGCCGCTCGCCGTGACGACTCTCTCACGCCCATCTCCGAATGGTTCTGAACTACACTTTCCAAGGTGCATCGAGCACGGCCAGCGGCCTATTAGCCCAGACAAACAAGGCCTCTCGGCGCGCCAGGCTTTGAACTACACTTCCCAGAATGCCTGCAGGGCTTCCCATTGGCTCGCACGCGGACGCGGGCATGCGCAGACGTGCCGACGGGGGAGGCCGAGGCGGGGAGAAGGAGGGGTCATGGCGGCGGCGTCCTGAGCCAGGTGGAAGTTGGACGCCGGCGGGCGCTCGGGAAGGGAAATCAGCGGGCCGTCGGGCTGGGCAGGCGAGAAGGAGCGGCCGCGCCAGAGCTCCGCGCCCGTCAGGCCTGCGAGTGTGTCTTCCTGCGCGTTTCGTCCCCGACTCCGTTCGGGCGGCGCTGACGGGGTCCAAGGTGGGCGCGCGCTGGGACCCGCGCGCCCGGGGTCGGCTCCTCCGCCGTGAGCCTGGCGCCCGGCGTCTGGCCTCAGCGGCCCCCCTGCGTGAAGCGGGAGAAGGTGCTGCCGGCCACACGTCGCTGGCGTGCCCCCATCGGACAGGGCAGCTGCCTCAGTTTCCCCATCTCGGAAACGGGAAGAGTCGGTGTTCAGAGCAGGAAGAGGTCCTAAGAGGGGCCGGAGCTCTGCGCCTGAGGACGGCTCACACAAGCCGGGCGCGCCGGAGCCGTCGCCCTCCTCCCCGTTCGTTAAACGGACGTGACTCCCCCAGGAGTGCTGCGGGCGTGGCTGACCCGGGACTTGCCGCCGGGCGCCCTCCTCCCTCCCGCTCAGGACCTCCAGCCACCGCGGCCTCCTTCCTGCGCCGGGAACACGGCTGACCTTGTTCGCGCGCACCCCGTCGCGCACCTGACAGCGCAAACCTACGAGGTGCGCAGGAGCTGTGCTCCCGGCCCCCAGCAAGGAAACGCTTCCTCGCGCCCCCTCGCCTCGGGGAAGATGCATCTGTCATTCGTGCGGTGCCCGGGCCACACGCGGAAGCGTCGCCCTCCTACTTCGCCCATCGGCCCCGCACCAGTCCATCAGCAGGTCCCGCGGGCGCTGCCTCAGGCTGGTCCCGCTTTGTCCACTTCTCCTGATGCTGTCGCCTGGCCTGAGTTCCCTTGGCCTCTCACGTGAGCGACTGCATCAGCCTCCCTAGTGTCCTGCGCCGCTCTGGGCATGGAGCTCTGCATTTTCATTCTGCAGTGGGCCTCACAGATTAAGTAGCCATCCATGTCGTACATACCACCTTGATCATCTGTGCAGCGTCCACATGCAGCGCCGTTTCTCCAGCATTCGAGTGCACTGTAAATATCGCTGAGGAATGGAAAGAAGGAATGACTCCTGGATGTCCTCCTTCCACTTCTTCACCTGGTAACATCATACATTCCTCAGCAATCCGTTCAGATGCTGCCTCCTCCAGGAAGCCTTCCCAGTGTGTGTGATAAAACACATGTAAAATTTGCCGTTTTAACCATTTTTAAGTACGCAGTAGAGTGGCGTTAATAACATTCACTGTGGGGCGCCTGGCTGGCTCAGATGGTTAAGCGTCTGCCTTCGGCTCAGGTCATGGTCCCGGGGTCCTGGGGTCGAGCCCCGCATCGGGCTCCCTGCTCGGCGGGAAGCCTGCTTCTCCCTCTCCCGCTCCCCCTGCTTGTGTTCCCTCTCTCGCTGTGTCTCTCTCTGTCCAATAAATAAATAAAATCTTAAAAAAAAAAAAAAAGACCAGGGCGCCTGGGTGGCTCAGATGGTTAAGCGTCTGCCTTCGGCTCAGGTCATGATCCCGGGGTCCTGGGATCGAGCCCCACATGGGGCTCCCTGCTCGGCGGGAAGCCTGCTTCTCCCTCTCCCACTCCCCCTGCTTGTGTTCCCTCTCTCGCTGTGTCTCTCTCTGTCAAATAAATAAATAAAATCTTAAAAAAAAAAAAATGACCAGGGCGCCTGGGTGGCTCAGATGGTTAAGCGTCTGCCTTCGGCTCAGGTCATGATCCCGGGGTCCTGGGATCGAGCCCCACATGGGGCTCCCTGCTCGGCGGGAAGCCTGCTTCTCCCTCTCCCACTCCCCCTGCTTGTGTTCCCTCTCTCGCTGTGTCTCTCTCTGTCAAATAAATAAATAAAATCTTAAAAAAAAAAAAATGACCAGGGCGCCTGGGTGGCTCAGACGGTTAAGCGTCTGCCTTCGGCTCAGGTCATGGTCCCGGGGTCCTGGGATCGAGTCCCGCATCGGGCTTCCTGCTCCTTGGGAGCCTGCTTCTCCCTCTGCCTCTCTCTGTCTCTCATGAATAAATAAATAAAATCTTAAAAAAAAAAAAAAGACCAGGGCGCCTGGGTGGCTCAGATGGTTAAGCGTCTGCCTTCGGCTCAGGTCATGATCCCGGGGTCCTGGGATCGAGTCCCGCATCGGGCTTCCCGCTCCTTGGGAGCCTGCTTCTCCCTCTGTTTCTCTCTGTCTCTCATGAATAAATAAATAAAATCTTTAAAAAAAAAAAGATAACATTCACTGTGGTGCAACTGTCACCACCATCTACCTCCAGAACTCTTCTCCTCTTGCAAAGCCGAAAGTCTGTCCGTTAAACAACTCCCCATTCTCCCTCCTGCCCCCTGCCCCAGCCCCTGGTACCCCATGTAAGTGGGATTAGGCGGTGTTTGTCTTCTTGGGACTGACTCACGCAGCACAATGTCCTCTGGGTTCATCTATGATGTGGCGGGTGTCGGAATTCCCTTCCTTTTTAAGACTAATAATTCATTATATATGTATATCACATTTTGATTTTTCCGTTCATCAGAGAGTTCTTAAATAGGAACATGTCACTCTTTTGCTTAAAATTCTCCAGTGCAAACCCTTGACTCTGGCCTGCAAGACCCCACATAATCGGACCCCTTCAGATCCAGAATTCCTCTCATATGGTGCCTTGGTGCAAATCAGAAAAGGTTGCCCTCAGAAGGACTGTGGGCCTGAGCCAGGGCATGGGTGCAGCAAGGAGATGGAGAGCAGGATTCAGCCACCTCCTCCCACGCGGCCAGGTACTTGTAGGTAGGGTGTGAGGATCACCCCAGCCCTCAGCCCAACACCACTCTCCTTCAGACGTGATCACTATGCTCCATCACAGTGGCCCAAAGGTTCTGAATCAGGTCCCAGACAAGCCACAGAGCATCACCTGGGGGCTCATTAGAAATGCAAATTCTCAGACCCACTGAATCAGAAACTCTGGGGGTGTTGGGCCCAGCACTTTGTTTTAACAAGCCCTCCAGGGGATTGTGATGCACGCACCAGCATTCTTGGGTCTGGCATTCAGCAGCACATTAGAATAGTCACCCCTTCACAGGGTCCTTGGGCGGCTCACTGCGTGAATACATGCAAAGCACCTAGATCATGCCTGGTAGAGAGTAAGGAGCTGATGAACATTAGCTTTTTTTTTTTTTTTTACTTTGCCTACAGTTAACATAACTGATAAATGCAAGCCCAACCCAGTTGCAAAGTTGAACACCAACCCCCCACCCCCCACCCCGGCCCCATATAATAAAAACAGCTTACTTTACCACAGAATGTTGTCTACTCATGTCTTGTGCAATTCATGTGTAGGGCACCTATTCTTTTTTTAAGATTTTATTTATTTGGGGGTGCCTGGGTGGCTCAGTTAAGAGTCTGCTTTCTGCTCTGATTTAAAAAAAAAAAAACACAACAGAAGAAGAAGGGCCCCCTGCTCTGTTGAATGCCCTCCTGGGGCCATCTTGAGATTCTTAACTCCTTTTTTTTTTTTTAAGATTTTTATTTTTTGACAGAGACAGAGAGACAGCAAAGAGGGAACACAAGCAGGGGGAGTGGGAGATCTTAACTCCTTTTTAAATTGTTTTAAATTATTTTTAAAAGATTTATTTATTTAATAGAGAGAGAAAGTGGCGGGGGGGCAGAGGGAGACAGAGAATCCTGAAGCAGACTCCCCACTGAGCGCAGAGCCCAACGTGGGGCTCTATCCCAGGACCCTCAGATCATGACCTGAGCCGAAATCAAGAGTCAGCCACCCAGGTGCCCCAACCCCCTTTTTAAAGCATGGAGCTCTGCATTTTCATTCTGCAGTGGGCCTCACAAATTAAGTAGCCATTCATGTCATACATACCACCTTGATCATCTGTGCAGTGTCCACATACAGCGCTGTTTCTCCAGCATTCGAGTGCACTATAAATATTGCCGAGGAATGGAAAGAAGGAATGACTCCTGGATGTCCTCCTTCCACTTCTTCACCTGGTAACATCATACATTCCTCAGCAATCCGTTCAGATGCTGCCTCCTCCAGGAAGCCTTCCCAGACCACTCCCACCCCAGTAAATCTGGACGAAACTCCTCATCTGAGCTTCCACAGTGCCCCTTCTCTCTCCATCTCGTGCTTGGATTACTTTTTGTATCTGCCCTGCTTATCCTCTGGTGAGCAGCTCAATAACAGAGACCCAGTTGTTGCCAGCTCCCAGTTTGGGGCCTGCCTCTGAGTGAGTAAATAAGGATTGAAGGAAAGTGGTTCTTACCTTACTTCCCAGGCCTGAAGGCAAAAATTCTTTTGGCAGCAAATTTGGCCCATATCCTACCAAAGCTTTTGGGCTCCTTTGTAGCACCATTATAATTATTACTCAAAATAATAATTAACGGTTTGTCTTTTGTATGGTGCTTTAAAGCAGGGAGATCCTCCAGGGTGGGGAGGGGATTTGGTGCATGCCCGGGTGTCCAGCCCCCGGCACCCTGAGGCTCAGATGATGTTTATTGGATAAACGGGTGATGGATGAGTGATTACAGAGCCAGCCAGCCAGTCTGCACCTCCCAGTGAGGGCCCCTGGGGGCTGGATTGTGAGTGTGAGTCATCTTCACCAGGCCTCAGGAAACACTCGGGAATGAATAGTTAAATTATGAATGAATTGCTTAATGATGGGCACACACTGCCTATTAAGTTATTCCACCCTACGCTCTCTCTGTGGGACTGCAGAACAGATCAAAGCATCAGCCCATTTTACAGTTGGGACAAGTGAGGCTTCCCCAAGAGACAGAAAGAGAGAGAGGCATAAGACCGAAGTTTCACAACCAGCAGCGGGTGTGGTGAGCCTGGTCTTCTGTTCTGTAGCCCTTGTGTGGCCCAGGCAGCAGGTCTTCAACTGGCCGGCAGAGCCTGGACAGGCAGACGGTGAGCAGGGCCGAAGGCCCAAGGGACCCAAGCCGACCTTACCTGCCAACCCAGAGAATTCCCTGGAAAGTTCTGCCCAGCTCTGTTTCCACACATCTGCCCAGAGCAAACGCAGCTTCTAGGCAGAGGTGATGGCCACGTGTCTTGTCTCAGGAGGTTGGAAGCCAAAATGACCTCTCCTGCCTCCTTATGGCTAGAGTTCTGGGGGTGAAGTCAGTTAGATGCACTGGGGTGAGAATCGGAAGGCCAATCAAAGCCACCAGAACCGCCTGCAGTCAAAGTCAGGCTGATTGAAGGTTCTGGAGGACTGGTCCCGGGGGAGCCTCAGGAAGCCTGGAAGGTTAGTGCAGGGCAGGGTGGCCAGGGGCTGAGGAAGCAGTGATAAAGAATAGGTGTCACTTATGTGTCGGGGGCATTCAGGATTTCTGCGGTCATGCTGTATTAGTCTGCTGGAGCTCCCATGACAAAATACTGCAGACCTCGATGTTTACAAGGCAGAGATTTATTCCCCACCCCCCAGTTCTGGGGGCTGGAAGTCCAAGATCAGGGCATCGGCAGGGTTGGTTTCTCACAAGCACTGATTTGGGGCTAACAACTTTTAGCAAGTAGGCCAATTCTCAGGTATGGAATCCATATATAATGAGGATCAACCTTTTAATTTTTTAAATAATTTTTAGTTTCATTTTTCAAGAGAGAATTCCAGCCAAGCTTGAAAATAACACTCTTGGGATGCCTAGGTGGCTCAGTCAGTTGGGCGTCTGCCTTCGGCTCGGGTTGTGGTCCTGAGGTCTTGGGATTGAGTCTGGCGTCAGGCTCCTTGCTCAGCGAGGAGCCTGCTTCTCCCTCTGCCTGCCGCTCCCCCTGCTTGTGCGAGTGCTCTCTCTCTGACAAATAAATAAATAAAATCTTTTAAAAAAAAATTAAAAATAAATAAATAAATAAAAATAACTTGTATAAATTCTTGTATAAATACGAAATGCAGATCACTGTGTGATGTGGGTTTTCCCCAATGCCACTTGCCCTGGGATACTGAGGACCTCATGTGCTGTTTTGTGCCAT